TTTCCGCAACCAGGAGGAATCTTTTCATCAGACAGAGAAGGAACAGATGAGGGCTTCATATGACAGCCTCATCACAACGGGTCAAACTCAGGTTGTCTTGGTCAAGAAACAGGAGAAAGAATTAGAACAAGGGCTTCATGAGGAAATCCAAGTTGTTGTTGAGACAGGGAAGGAACATCTGGACCACCCCACCAGTCTAAAAGCCGATCCAAAGCCTGTCTGTGAAGCCACAGCCCAGGACACCAACAACAAACCTGAACTTTAAGAACATGCCAAGAATTTAGAAACAGAGTTTGGTGAGAACTTTTCCCTCCAAGAAACCAGAGTCATGGAAGGAAAAGAAGAATAGCACTTATTCCCTCAATCCCAACTAAATTACATCCTGTCCCTCACACACATCCCTACAAAAATCAGCATCACCTCCCATTCATGTTGATCAGCAAGTGTGTGTCCAGGAGGTTCATCACTACTGGAGAAAAGGCAGCACAAGGTCACCAGACAGGAAACACGTCACATGTTCAAGTATTCTCTGTGCGACACGTCTTGTCTTGCATAACGTATACATATGTAGTATATTTTAGATGTATAAAAACTAAGGGTGGGAATTTAATGCATTAAGATTAATTAATAGTAAAAAAAATATTGTGTTAAAAAGATTTGAGCCCGCGCATCCCCTAATTGGGGGTCAAAAGAGTTTAGCGTCAACCCTAACCTTAACCTTTGGGGTTCTATTCCTAACCCTAACCTAAACTAAAAGTTAACTTACACCAAACCTCTAAAACCAAGTTTTGGGGTGCTTAGCATTGTGTGGGCATCAAAATGTCCACACATTACAGATTGAAAGTCAAAAATTGTCCACTTAAACATATAAAAACAAGCACACACAAACACACAGACATGCACACACACACACACACACACTGGTTTTAATGACAATAAAGGTAATTCTATTCTAATATAAATTAAATTTATTTGGGTTATCTTGTTAGTTTTGCTGAACACAGCCAGCTAAATTGTTTAGCTCTAGTTACAATCAACAAAGAAAAAAAGTTCTTCACATAGAAGGTCACACTATAAATATAGTTTCTGTGTGTGTGTGTGTGCGTGCGTGCGTGCGCGCGCGCGTGTGTGTGTGTGTGTGTGTGTGTGTGTGTGTGTGTGTGTGTGTGTGTGTGTGTGTGTGTGATGCACGCACGTGCTTGTGTTATAATAACATCGATGATTCATACTGTTTGCACTGAGACGGTAAGAATGAGTCTATTTTCTTTTCTTCGATTTATAAAGTAAAGCAGCTGTGTCTGACCCACCCTAACCAGTAACCTCTATGGACCAGCTCCAGTTCAACACAGTCCAGTCTTAAACATACCAACTGTTCCAGAGACAAGGCAGCAAACAGCTCCTAGAGAAACACGTCTCTTACCTGGGTCTGGACTCCATTGTCGCTCTGAAGAACCAGATGGTCAGTAGTCTCCACAACTGGAAATGCTCGTCTGCATCTCACCTGCCTGAACAGCTGAACCTGACAAGGTGATTGGCTGACATGTCTATGATGTAAACTAAACAGTGGTTCACTCATACCTATGTCCCAATAGCATCTTGTCTCTATGTCATTTTTGTTTTCTTTAGTTTGTTTTGTAGTAGAAATAATCTCAGACTTTCGGTTAACCTGCTGAAAAGCACTCATGATCTGTCAAACAGAGCGATTGTTATTTAGGTAACTCATATTTATTCTTAGTGATGTGTGTGTGTGTGTGTGTGCGTGCGTGCGTGTGTGTGTGTGTGTGTGCGTGCGTGCGTGTGTGTGTGTGTGTGTGTGCGTGCGTGCGTGCGTGCGTGCGTGTGTGTGTGTGTGTGTGTGTGTGTGTGTGTGTGTGTGTGTGTGTGTGACCAGGATGTGCAGTGTTAACAAGCCGCCCCTGGTAAACAGACTGTATCACGCCCAGCTGCTCAGCAGACAGACAGACTCCCGTCTCACACACAAACTGCCTTCTCTTCATGCTCATCCAGGAAATAAATGATTTACAGAATATCCTCAAGTAAAAGAACACTGACGTGTGAGGCTCAGCTGATTCTGTGTAAAGGACTGCGGCTGAGTTTCTTCATTCTGGTGTTTTTGTTTCCGTTGGACTGAAGATCCACTCGTGGAGCTGCTATCATGACCAGGTCCTTGTTGGAAAACACTTTTTACTTGTGAATGTAAGCGGTGGCCCAGACAAACTGAAATTCCAGTGAGAAGGACCAAATTCAGACGGGAGAAACCAGGATAATCACATGCAGATACCAAACATGGAAATAACCTGTGAATTATGATTTCATAGATTAACATTTTAAATCCTTTATTGGGATTGAGCTAATGTGTACATGTGTCCTGTCTGGATGTAAAGCAATCAGAATTGATGTTTGAGGGCCGAAGACAAACCTTACGGTTTTCTCTCACAGGAGGAGGAGCACAGCTTCTTCTATAATGTCTGATACCAAAACTTTATTAGAAATATTTTGGGTTGTTTTAAATCCCAACAAACACGAAGGCAAAAATGAATGGTAAATGGACTTCTAGAGTCCTCACAATCAGTCTTCACACACACATTCACACCCTGGAGGTGATGAGCTACAATGTAGCCACACCTGCCCTGGGGCGCACTGAGAGAGACGAGTCTGCCGTAAACAGGCGCCACCGGTCCCTGTGAACACCACCAGCAGGCAAGGTGGGTTAAGTATCTTGCCCAAGGACACAACAACCTTCAACCTTCCGATTACGGGGCGAGCACTTAACTCCTGTGCCACTGTCACTGGTGCAGATCTAAAACCAGCATCTCACGCTAACTCCAACCCTGAACTAGAATTTATGTAGGTCCTAAACACCTGTACAAAATTTTCTCACAAAGTGTCCCCATGACTTACAGACTCCAAATACATTCATGTTGTGTTCTAGCTGCAGGAGAATAAAATCAAACCTGCAGGTTTTTCTGTTATTTTCAACATGACATTTACAGCAAACTTACAATTTGTTGCTTAACTGCAACTAAAATGTAACTTTCCCACTGACTGGAATGAAATGCATTTTTCATGTTTTGATTCCAAAATACAAAATACCTTTCTGATGTTGTGAATATTTTCATCACTCTCACCCAGAGGCCTTTAAATATGGCCGAGGTTCATTGACACCTCTGTGGATTCATAGAAAGGACTTGGCTCTTATCAGGTGGTTTCTGCATGTTCTCCAATTCTCATGTTCTGTTTCTCAGCTGGAACAGACCAGATGAAAATCCGACTTAGTTTCAGGTTGTCACCGTTTGTGACAGTGGGTTTTCTTCAGTCTTCAAGGGTCAGCTGCTTGACAACATCTGAAAAAGATGGAGTAAGAAAACTAACAACAGTAAAGTAAAACACCAGGAGAAGAGCCCTTCAAAGGTCATAGGATTGACCAAACAGGGTTTAGAGAATAAATGATCAGTATTATGTAGAGAAGGGGGATTTAATTCCAGTCTTGGAGGGCCGGTGTCCAGCACGTTGGAGTTTTAACTCAATCAGCAGGTGATTGACAGGCTTCTGCAGAGCCTGGTGAGCTGATGCACAGCTGATTCAACCACTGAATCTAGTGTGTTGGAGCAGAAAAACCACTAAAACGTGCTGGATATCGGCCCTCTAGGACCAGAATTTAACATCTCTGCTGTAGAGCCTCACTGTCGGCTTCAGGTTTTACTCCAATTCCAAAACAAAAACAGTGAATTAGTGTGAAAGGAACTCGCTTTTTTCAGATTTAAAATGAACTCCGTAGAAAAGGGAAGAAAACGTGTTTGACTGATTATTTCTTAGTTGTGACGATGCTTTATGGTTATAAATTAGCCTGATTAGTCACTTGAGTTCATTTTAAACTGTTTTGCATCAGAAGCTGTGGTTTTCGGTGAGTTTTAAACACGATAAAGTGTTTCTATGAAATAAACAAACTGACTTGATCATAAAGTGCTTGACAAACAAAAATTCTCGTGGTTGTGTAAATGATTGTAGGCATAAAACAAGCTCGCTGTTTCATTCTGCATAGGTTTTCATTGAGGCCAAAACTTAAAGCTGTGTCCATCATATCAGAGGGAACTGGGCCAGTTTGGATCCCTGATTGGAGCCAAAGCTTCCATCAGTCCGTCTTCTGAAAACTGTTTATTAGAAGAATCTGATATGATGTGAACGCATCACAACACCATGCTAAAAGAACGGGACAGTGACGGCCTGTGCTCCTCAGCCTCACATGTCAGTAAACTTCAGCTGGTTTGGTCTCTAAAGTTTGTGAGCTCTACATAATGTGTGTAAAACGTTCTCTGTGTCCTGACTGAAAACATCACTGGTCATTCACTTTCAGTGATGAGGTCTTTCAGTCAGCATCTAGAACTCATGGTTGCTTTCAAATGGGGGGAACGGTCTGCAGCATTAGGTGAACAACATGATGTACCACAGTTATTTATTCAACAAAAACTAAACATTTGAGTCAGTCCAATGGCCCAATAGACCCTCCTTCAGCAGCGGGAATTAGTTCAAAGATTTTGTTTAGTTCGGTTTATGTATAAAGCTCCAGTTCACAACAAAAGTCTTCACAAAAAGTCCAATTCATATCAAGTATTTTGTACATTTATAAAATCCCAGCAACACACCCAACAGCATAATCAAGACTGTATAAGAGTTATAACTCTGTTGTCATGAGCCAGGGTGAGTACTCGTCTCATCATCTCACTATCTCTGAGTGTTTTGGTTTCAGGAGAGGGAGCAACAGCTGTTTCCAATCAGCTGATCAGCGGGCCGGTTTATAAGGAGGAAGGTGGACATGACTCGACGCCGGAGAAACAGTGGAACATGTTTTATGTGACTGCATAAAATGTGAGGAAAGTAGAGGACCACTCAGGGAGAAATTGAAAAACATAGGAGGTGGAGTGAAGAATGTAAAGAATTTGTTAAATGGTGAAGAAAGGAAATATGAGTTGGTTGTTGGGTATCTAAAGCACAGTGGTTTGTTTAATAGAATTTAGTTTTTTTGTTTGTTTGTTTGTTTTAATGCTCTTACTCCGACTCACACTCCAGCACAGTAGGTGGCGGAAATGCACCTAGCAGTTAGATGCCACCCGCCAATAAACTCGAAGAAGAAGAAGACTCGACGCCGGATGATTAACTACTGACTGGTAGTCTCTAGCCCTCGCTTATCTCTGCTCTTGTTTTCTTGTGTTTTTCTCTCGTGACTTGGATTAATTCTATTTTTGGATTTTACTCCACCTCAGGTCTGGATAATCATCAGAGTTTTCCCCGACGCCGTTTTGGATTTTTATTTGGTTCGTTTCCTGGTTCACCCTCCTCCAAGTGCCGACCCAATCTCCTCCACCTCTCGCTCCCTCTCCAGAACCACACCGGTCTGGATCCCATTCCTCATTCACCTCTACCGCTCTACAATCATTACCTGGACTTACCCCGGCTCACCCCTCCCACACGCTTCTCGTCTATCTAAGCCGTAAGTCCCTCAGCCAGCAATTCCCCTGCCATTCTACAACTCCCATACTCACCTTTGCTACTTTTCCCTCTAGACGCTGCTTCCCGTTTCTGCACCCGCTGGATTTTCCAGTGTGCCCTTAGTTCACCTTTTTGTCAATAAATATTTATTATTTTTTTTATACAATCTGATTCTGCATGTCCTGGGTTAGACTCTTGCCCCGCAAGATGGCATCTGTGTGTCTGCATACAACTAATCACTTATAATGTGGGAAGGGGGAGTAAATCCTATACAATATAAGACTAGCAGTAACAAATGCAATAATACGCAGATATAAAAGGACAATCCTAGTAACATGTTTTATATAACCTGGTCCAGAATCACTCCAGTGGTCCCCGAGGTTGTTACCAACCAAAGGATGTGAAAGAACAAGCAGTTTGTTCCGAAAGGGTTCAGGTCAAAGACAATAACCTCTTGTCTAATATGAATTTAAAGGAAGACTGACCTCATGAGTTGTGATCTGCTGTTCTTAAAGTTTGTGTTTTTGTTATCGCTGTGTTCACCTAGGAGTTTGCTGGAAAGCCCTCCACAAACAACGTGATGATATGTTCTACAGAACTGTTCAGAGACTGAGATGTGTGGGTGAGGTAGCACATTAGCATTTAAACATGGAGTTAAGTCAGTGCAGCTGGGCGCCAGTTCTCCTGTTACTCTCCTGGAGACCTAAACAGGCGGACGTCGTCAAGTGCAAGCTGTAGCCAGCTACCACTGTTAGCCAGGATGGACTTCCTACCTGGAAAGTGAATCTTAGAGAAGGAGGTGCAGCATGGAGAAACAGGCTGAAGAAGGCGGGTGTGAGAGTGATTGGTTGGGATCACTGAAGAGGCTGATTGGTGGGGTGCTCAGGTGGGTTTCTAATGAAGCTTGAATGTTTGAGGAGTAAACTGATAGAGGTGTAGGAACCAAAACACTGGTTCATTTTTCTGATGCAGATTTTAAAGGAGGAGAGGCTCCAAGTGAAAGATTTGAGAGAAGGTTGCTGGTTGAAGGAGCAGACTGTTTGTGTCTGTGATAAGCTAAAGGAGATTGTACAGGAAGACGGGTCTGCCAGGATGTGAAAAACACCTGTCTTCAACAGAAGCAGGACGAAGTTGGACAGTAGGTAGATGGATGGCAGCAGGACTACAGAGAGATGGGTGGTATCATTGAGAGTTCAGAGCATCAATACCTGCAGGTGAGAGAACCAGGGCTTGTAGGAGGTCAGAGAGAGAAACAATTCCTCTCACCACATCCTCACTGTCGACCAACACCAGCCGATGCACCTGAGGAGGAGACAAGGTTGGTTTTGGTATCCCTTAATCAATTATAGACAAGCTGATCCTCATGAAGAAGTTCACACTTCAGGACCTCATTCTTAAAGCTTTGAGTACAATCCTTACTCAAACTCGGCAAACTAATCTTCCAACCCATAAAAACTACTTGCACACGGCTATGTGAAAATTCTTGCTTTATAATTCACACTCTTCCTAGAAATTTGCTCAGGTGTTTCTGGATCACATGCTGCCTCCTACAGACCCACTTTCTGTCATGAATGATCAATGCAAAGCACTTTATGAATGCTCTGCATATAAATAACAATGAGAGCTGTCCAAAGTGCTGCACAGGCAGATACAACAAACTAAACACAAAACAATCATAAAGTGACACTAAAAGCATCGGTAAAACAGCTGAACTGAGACAGATAAACAAAAAAAAATACTGAAATCAAAATAACTAAAAGCACAGATAAGACAATAAAACAAGTTACAAGTTAAAAGCCAACACTTAAAAGTGGGTTGTTGAATGAGATTCAAAAACCGCCAAAGAGGGAGCCCGCTTTACAGTATTAGGCAGTGCGTTCCACAGCTGGGGGGGCAGCATGGACAAATGCTCGCTCGCCCCGTGATTTATAGCACATCCTTGGAGTCCAAAGCAGGAGGCAATCTGGCAAGCTGCCAGGTTACCATGGCAACCGAGAGGTCGAGATAATGGAGCCAGAGATTGCAACAATCATTGATGCCATCTAAAATGGCTGCATTATGATGCGCAAGTATTTCTGAGATGTTGGAGATCTAAGCGTAACATTACATTAAAATGTTTCGTTTAACTCAAAAAGCCTTTTGGCAGAAAATGCCATATTTTTATCATATCAAACAAATATCACATCACCTGTTGGCTAAGTCCCGCTGGAACAAGCTGGTTGCCTGAGAGCACAGTAGGTGTTGGCTCTGGCGTGCCATTGTAGTTTACATGTGTTAATTTTTTAAAGATGGTATGAAGCAGGTACTTTATCCATGGATACATTATTTACAGAAGGGAAGATCACAATACATCCATCCGTACTTTGGCCCAGTCCCAACACTCACACCTCCACCCTTGTGCCTCTCAACTGTGCCTTCCCGAGTGCGTAGGGTGTCTCGATTCTCAAGTGTGGAGGTTGACCACACCCACTTTGCACTCTTTAATCGCACTTTGCCAAAGTCCGCATTGATGCAGACTTCAGTGAAATATTACCCACATTCCATTGCTGCGTGGGAATATTGGGAAGAAGGTGGAGCAATGGCCCTTTTTCAAAATATTTATTCTCAAGTATAATTATCGAAATATTGAGTATTTTATTATTGTGCATATTTATGATTACAAACACGTGTTCTCTGTTGATGTTACATGTCTGTTAAAAAGTATGGTTAACTGATAACTGTGCTGGTGTGTATTTTTGGACACAACATGCCAGTAATTTAATCACTAGTTGTAATATCATTCAGTACAATTTAACAGTCTACAGAGTGAACAATAAAATGTTAGGATTAAAAATGAAAAATAATTTTTCCCCATCTGGTCATGGAAAAACATAAAACCTTTGGAATGTTTATGGAAAATTAAATCTTCAAATTTTATCATTTGCTCTTTTACCCAACAAGAAAGAAGTTCATTTTAGGACGATTAATGATATTTATTTATGCTCTGAATGTTTTAGATTAAGATCTAATGTGGACAGCAACAAAAGCTAATTTTGTCAAATTATGAAGTGTTTGAAAGTTGATTTAAAGGAGACATAACATGAAAAACACACTTTTTTATCCGTTAACACAGTGTGTTTCACATTTTAAGTGTCTAAGTGAGCAAAAAGGCTTATATTATTCACTGGAGTTGCTATTTAGATATTTAATAGTTAAGTTTTGGGCATATTTGTCCACCCGTTCAGTTTTTTAAATTATCTATTACATCAGTAATTTATTTCGTCAGGATAACTACCAAATATGGTAATGGCCCTCGGCTAAACACAGAGCCAATCTGCCATTTTTTCTTCTCGCTAAGATTTTTTGTAGTCCTATTGGAAAAATGCAGAATGTCTGGTTATTTTAGCCACACACAGCTCAAAACTGTTCCTCGTTTTAAGGAAGGGTGGTGGGGCAGTATTTAAACCCAGGAGCTGATGACACTACTGCTAAAAAAAACACAGAAGAAAAAGTAGTGTGTGTGTTTGTGTGTGTGAGTGTGAGTGTGAGTGTGTGTGTTTGTGTGTGTGTGTGCGCGCGCGTGGTTCGTTCGGTGTCTCCAGGCTACTGACCAAGTACTGAGGGCTTCATCTATCTAAAAGGAGTCATTTTTATCTGAATGTGGCAGCACCGGGACACAGCAGCAGAGCGGTAAGCTTCATATCACTCTAAAATGTCGACAAACTTTACTTTAGGTTTACGGGCATTAGCAGCACTAAAGCGTTAGCATCCGGCTTGCTATCGCTAGCACAGTATGCTAGTAAAGTTAGCACCCAGATTAATGTGGATTTGGCTGATTTTCGTGGAATAAAACGTGATTTCTGATCAACGCCTTCTTTTACACCAGATGATAACCTCCCACTGATTGTAACAGCAGAGAGCCTGTGTGTTATTCTACGTGAGTGTGATGTAATCTTAGCATCCAGTAAATAAAGTCCCATATCAGCTAAAATGCAGCGTGACAGTCATTAAAGTGCGTCAACACAGTGGATTTAATACAAGTTTTAAAGAACAATCTCTGAGTGAAGTGAGGTTAGTTTTTTGTCTCACTGCAGATATAAAAACTAACTCTGCATCAGTCACACGCAGCAAAGCTCACCGTCTGTATGAGCGTGAGCGTCGGAAAGCTGATAAAATCAGCTGTAAAATAATTAAAACAAAAGTAGAAATGTTCCTTTCCTTTTTTAGTGTCCACATCCAGAAGGCTGGAGCCGTGTTTCACTGACAGGCTGTCAGACTAAAGCCCTGATGAGCTCAGCTGGGACAAACTGGTCTGATGTTTAGGTACGTGAAGATCTGCTTCTCCAAGTCCTTGAGATGCTAGTAAAAAATAATTTAGCCAGCTTGCTAATGTTACTTTTCTTCTCCTCTAAGGAACACAGAACGTTCAGATGTTGGAGCTCACCTCACCTACTGAGGAAGGAGACCCACCAGTAAAGAGACGGTCTGGACCAGACCAAAGTGAGTGATGACACACCTCAGCCACCCTCATCATTAAGAACACCTCACCCCCTGAATCACTCCGTCTGATGACAGCAGAGTGATTTATTTGATGTTTTACTTGTTTAGTCTGTTTAGAAATTATTGAATTACATTATTTTCTGTAATCGACCATCTGATCTGGATGTGTGCAGAATAACTTTCCCCAGATTCAGCAGCAGCTGGCCTACAAAAACAGCTGCAGCATGTAGTAAGTCTGTCTGCACTGCTCTCTAATGAGCTTCCTTTCATAAGGAATCATTTGTATAATTTTAGTGTCACTATTTTATTACATTTGTAAGAATATGAAGTCACTGCAGCAACACAAACGTGACTGTAAACATGAAAGCTAAAGAAACAACTTTCCTAAAGCTGCTTGTAAACAAAATATGTCATTAAAGTTATCGTCTATCATTGCAGAATATGGCGATGACATCATGGAACTGGTCTTTGGAAAAGTTTTCCCTGAACCAACTCCGTTTCTAGATGAGGTAGAGAAGATCTGCATCTCACCAACCCTCTGGTCTCAGAGACAACGGAGGTCTCCCACTGTTATCCAGGACCAGTTTGAAGCCCACATACTGCCCCTCCCTCATCACCAGGAAACATCAATCCGTATCCTGAGGACAACAGAAGACGGCAGGAGGACATGAACTCTGAGACCTAGATACCACCAGCACCGGGACACAAAGCACCTGTGTGCACAACGCCTGTTTAACTACTAAAGCCTGTTTATTATATTGTTCTACTTATTTGCTGTGAGGTTAAAACTTAGAAAATTTGTATATTAATGTAAACAATAAAAAAATCACTGATTGTATGTTTTCTTTTAGATGTAATGGTCCAAACTCAGCCTTGTAGACATTTATTGCATCCTGTAGGTAAATACACAGAACAGGCTCAGATCCAGGATGACCCAGCATGCTCTTCTTCCATTCTGGCTGTTAGGGATTGTATCAATAACTCAATTCCTACTGATGTTTCCACCTAACGGTATTTATTTAGAATGCAGGTAAGATTTAACTATATTTGTTAGCAAAGCAGACTGATCTTGGGAATTTCACTGCAGCACTGATGTCCACCTCTCTGTACACATTAGAGAGAATTACCACTTTACAGCTAAACACATTTAATAAAGATATAGGCTACGCATTGCAGACAATAAAAACAAAGTTGTAAGCATTAGAATTATAATGATCACATTAAAGAACATTGAGAAATGTTCTTTATTTTTGACTAGAATCTCAAATCTTTAAATTAAAATGTGACTGCTTTTTATCCATTTTCAGCCTTAAGACACCCAATATAAAATAAGACTACTTATAAAATTATTTATAATTATATGTATGTATATAGATAGATAGAGATCTTAATAAAATATATTCTTTTAATGGTGTTTTAATGAGCTGTATCATTTTTATAGAAATAAATAAGCAAGCAGCATTCCTTGTGTGTGTGTGTGTGTGTGTGCGCGCGCACGTGCCTGCTCGCTTGTCCCTCCGTCGGCCGTGACGGGTGTGTGTGAGTAACTACAGACAAATGCATGAGAGAGTTAGCAGCCTTGAAACAGCCTGATGAACTACTCTCCCCACATGTTTTAAAAATGCTAAATCTGCTATGCTAAATAATGATTTCTCTATAGAACTACAAAGTCCGGCTGGGTGAGGAGAGTACAGGTCTACACTATGGAGGGGGGCGGAGTTTACAGCTCCTCCTCCAGTTTAAAGAGACAGTACCCAAAAACGGCTCGTTCTCTAGACTCTCCTCAGAACAGGGGTAGATGAGGGTCAATAATGAGGAAATCAGACCAAAGAACTGCAGTTCCACTGTATTTAGACCCCAACTGAAGGATTTAGATGTAAAAAGGAATAACTTAAAAGCATGTTATGTCTCCTTTAAAAAGCCTGAGGTCCGCATCGCTGCAGACTTGGGTGAAGTGCAGATTAAGGGTGCAATGGGGGCGTGGTCAACTTCCACACTTGAGACACCCTACGCACTCGCACCCCTGGTCGGGAACGCACAATTGAAGGGCGCAGGTGTGACTATTGAGATTGGGTCTTCTTCTCCATCTTTACCATTCTTCTTCTCTGCACTTCTAGTTTGCACAAAGCACTACACTGCTGTCTAGTGGATGAGAACATAACAATATAAATTTAGTGTAATATCCTAAAAGCTGTTTACTTTCATTTAGGTTCTCATTTTTATTCTCAGTTTAAATATGGGCGGTAAGACGGACTGTTGGTGTGTGTGTGTGTGTGTGTGTGTGTGTGTGTGTGTGTGTGTGTGTGTGTGTGTGTGTGTGTGTGTGTGTGTGTGTGTGTGTGTGTGTGTGTGTGTGTGTGTGTGTGTGTGTGTGTGTGTGTGTGCGTGCACTAGCCCATGATTGATAATGTGAGGTGGTTCTTGGATCTGTGTCCAATAAGGTGGTGGAGTACCTCAGCCTTTGCAATGCGGTCAATAATGGTCTCCAGTGTTTCATGGGGGTAACACTTGAGGACTCCCTCCACCCAGCAGAATCTGGACTCAATGACCTCCCTCATCGTCATGTTCAGGTTGTTATAATTTTTCTGTGCAGCAAGGTTCTAATACACACACACACACACACACACACACACACACACACACACACACACACACACACACACACACACACACACACACACACACAGAGAGAGATAATAAAACTGGGTTCAGTCTGGCACCAGCTTTTGCTTTTGAATCTGGTTTCAGTAAAACACACATATTAACGACTAAATGCAAGTATGAAATCAAGAATCAGGAGGATTGTACAAGTGAGTAAAGATCAAAGAAATGAACAAGGAATCACAAAATGTACTCACAATGACATCAAACCTGGAGTACAGCGCCACCACTCTGCCTGCAGAAAAAATGCAAGGAGACAGAGGATGGGGGACAACAGGCACCACTTCAGTTTTAGACTGAAGACCTTCTAGCATTCACCTTCTCTGAGAGTGAGGACTGGACTGAGTCTGATCATGGAGACAGGTGTTTAGCTTATTTTTGTACTACCTTGCTCATTGACAACAGGCAGGGCTGATACTCTTCTCTCCACAAAAAGGGTAAGAGCATCATAGACAGTAGCAGACTCCTGAATCGTTGCAATCTGGCTAAAGGTACCGATTGGTACTTCACTGATCTGCTTCCGCAGAAACATTGGTTTGGGAATCATGGATCCCTGGAAGAAAAGACAGAACGATCTATTCAACATGGATATTTTCAGATTAATGTCTTCTCTGCATGTTTGCTTACAAAGATGTGGAGGAACTTGAGTATTCGTTTGTGAGTGAGGATGTGAAGGACGTTTCCTGACACCGGGTCGATCACGGGCAGCCGGTGGATCTTATTCTTTAACAGGGAGTAGATGGCATCAAACAGGCTGAAGAGACAAACATATCTCAGGTCACGCTCTGACACATGATTCTCAGCTTAATAACAACTACTGCAGCATTGTTTTCTCCACTACAGACAGAAGCTGTGGAGGTCATCATCCCCTCCTAAAGCCCCACTGATTAAAAGCAGCATCCAACTGGTCCCTTTGTATAGATGCAGCTATGGTCACTTTTTGTCCACTCATCATGAACAGAAATGTTATTAATGTGGGTTTTAATGATGTTTTTGAGCAGTTATTCTCCCACTAGAATGATAAAAAAAACACAGAACTTTAAAGATTTCTAAAAACATGAACTGGATCAGGAATTTCTCTCAGTAAATACTCGTCTCGTCTTCCTCCGCTTATCCGGGTCCGGGTCGCGGGGGCAGCATCCCAATTAGGGAGCTCCAGGCCGTCCTCTCCCCGGCCTTGTCCACCAGCTCCTCCGGCAGGACCCCAAGGCGTTCCCGGACCAGATTGGAGATGTAACCTCTCCAACGTGTCCTGGGTCGACCCGGGGGCCTTCTGCCGGCAGGACATGCCCGAAACACCTCCCCGGGGAGGCGTCCAGGAGGCATCCTGACCAGATGCCCAAACCACCTCAACTGGCTCCTTTCGATCCGGAGGAGCAGCGGTTCTACTCCGAGTCCCTCCCGAATGTCCGAGCTCCTCACCCTATCTCTAAGGCTGAGCCCGGCCACCCTACGGAGGAAACTCATTTCGGCCGCTTGTATCCGCGATCTCGTTCTTTCGGTCATTACCCAAAGCTCATGACCATAGGTGAGGATTGGGACGTAGATCGACCGGTAAATCGAGAGCCTGGCTTTCTGGCTCAGCTCCCTCTTCCCCACGACAGATCGGCTCAGCGTCCGCATCACTGCAGACGCCGAACCAATCCGCCTGTCGATCTCCCGATCCCTCCTACCCTCACTCGTGAACAAGACCCCGAGATACTTAAACTCCTCCACTTGAGGTAGGACCTCTCCCCCGACCCGGAGGTAGCAAGCCACCCTTTTCCGGTCGAGAACCATGGTCTCAGATTTGGAGGTGCTGATCCTCATCCCAGCCGCTTCACATTCGGCCGTGAACCTACCCAGCAAGAGCTGAAGGTCAGAGCTGGATGAAGCTAGGAGGATCACATCATCCGCAAAAAGCAGAGACGAGATTCTCCTGCCACCAAACTCGACACACTCCACACCACGGCTGCGTCTAGAAATTCTGTCCATAAAAGTGATGAACAGAACCGGTGACAAAGGGCAGCCCTGGCGGAGTCCAACCCTCACTGGGAACAGGTCCGACTTACTACCGGCTATGCGGACCAAACTCACGCTCCTCTGGTAAAGGGACTGAATGGCCCTTAACAGAAAGCCACCCACCCCATACTCCTGGAGCGTCCCCCACAGGGTGCCCCTGGGGACACGGTCATAAGCCTTCTCCAAATCCACAAAGCACATGTGGATTGGTTGGGCAAACTCCCATGCCCCCTCCATCACCCTTGCAAGGGTATAGAGCTGGTCCACAGTTCCACGGCCAGGACGAAAACCACATTGCTCCTCCTCTATCTGAGATTCAACTATCGATCGGACCCTCCTCTCCAGTACCTTGGCGTAGACCTTTCCAGGGAGGCTGAGGAGTGTGATCCCCCTATAGTTGGAACACACCCTCAGGTCACCCTTCTTAAAGATGGGGACCACCACCCCGGTCTGCCACTCCCTAGGAACTGCCCCCGATGACCACGCAATGTTGTAGAGACGTGTCAACCATGACAGCCCTACAACATCCATAGCCTTGAGATACCCAGGACGAACCTCATCCGCCCCCTCAGTAAATACACACGACTGAATAAACCTCTTGGGACTGGAGCGGCCCAGTCTCTAGTAAGTATGGTTTGGTTCTGATGTTTACTAACCAACAAAAAAAATAAAGGGAAACAGCACCCTGCAAAACTTTTTTAAACTTGTGATAAATTGGGTAAAACATGTTTTTCTCACCTGGACTCAGGTGTGATGCTGATCAGTCTGTTTACTGAGTACTGGAGATAGATCTCTGCACAGACAGAAGCAGGAGATGAAAACACTCCTGAAGTGAATGCAAAGTTTTATTTCAATAAATGGTAAATGGCCTGTATTTGACATAGAGCCTTCTAGAGTCCTGGAACCCCTCAAGGTGCTTTACAACACAGTCATTCACCCATTCACACACACATTCACACACTGGTGGGGATGAGCTACAATGTAGCCACAGCTGCCCTGGGGGCACACTGTCAGAGGTGATGCTGCCATAAACAGGCGCCACCAGTCCCTCTGACCACCACCAGCAGGCAAGGTGGGTTAAGTGTCTTGCCCAAGGACACAATGACAGCGACAGACTAAGCGGGGCTCGAACCTGCAACCTTTCGATTACGAGGTGAACACTTAACTCCTGTGCCATCGTCACCCAGGAAATGTGTTGTGTTATACACCCCCCCCCCCTCTTTTTTTCTATTGTTAATAGCAACGTCAGTCTGCTCTCTAATTAAATTTTTATAATACAAAATATCAAAGCAAGATAGATAAAAGATGTTTAGTTTTAAAATGATTAAATTCTGTGTTTCTGTGAACATTCAAGTGTAACTTTCATTTGCAACCTTAAATGGTCCCTAGTACTGTCTCTGCTTGTGTCCCTGAGATGGACTGAAGACCAGTCCCCGGTGTCCCCTGGCTCTTGCCCAAAAACTGTTGGCATTAGACACCAGCTCCCCATGACTCTACTGAGGAATAAGTGGTTGAGATTATGAATGAGTGAGAGAACTAAAACCAACTGTATGTAGATGAATATCAGATGAGACCATTTTACTCTGAGCTAATTAATAGTTTCTTCTTTCTATAAAACAGGATGAGACGCTGAGTTTTGCGTTAAAAGAGCCTTCTGGCACCAAACAATCTGCTACAAAGCAATGGTTTATCCTGACGCATCCCCTTAAAGAAAATCCGATGTTTTATGAATTAACTACTCAGGTGGTTGAGATTGTCAGACCTCTCCATGTCTCTATCTTGTGTTCTTCCAGTTCGTAGATCTGAACCTGCAGACAGAAAACACACAGCTCATGTCCAACAGTGGTGGGTTAGTTAGAGCACACCTCCATCAGGTGTTTACAGCTCAGCTCACCAGAGGAGACCTGTAGTAACGATGAAGAATGTTGATGAAGTCAGTGATGGTCAGCATTCCTGCACACATGAAACCAAACTGGATCATTATCCAGCAAGAAGAACCTATGAGAACAGAGTCAACACCTTGGATAGCACATGGTTGTGGGTCGGATTCAAAATGAACCAAAAACATCTATCAGACCTGAACTCCTGCAGCAGCACGGCCTCAACACTGAACATCAAGCAGGTTGGTTCAGACCTGACCTTCTGGTGATGGTGTAAGAGCATAGCTGCTGTCCAGATCTAGATTGTGACTCATCTGTGAGACATCCCATCACTGACGAGTGTTTGTGCAGTATTGTGTTGTTTGTTAAATTATGCCAAAATTTCTTATTACATTATAAAGTATTACTCTATAAATAATCATGTTTATTTACCTTTAAACCTCGTATTCATGTTATGTGTGTGTGGGAATATGTTGCCCTCTGGTGGCCAATTGTAGAAAGCTCCAGAGATTAATACACGCTTCGCCTAGCCTGGCCTGACAGACTTGTCCTCTGTGTAATTCTGCACAGAGAACTAATGCCTCCCCTAAGAAAGCATGGGGCTGGCTGGTCAGGCTACTTTATCTGTGTCGCAGCCTTTAAACTTCCAAAATGACAAATCTCCTACATAAGTAATTTCAGCAATTTAATCAGTAATCCAGTTTAGACTGAGAAACCATCGAAAGGCTCAGGAACCCTTTGCTGTTTTGGATTCATTGGCTGATTAGAGTGTGACACTTTGAGTCTAGAAAATTGAACCTTTTCACAATAATGTCTGAGATTTTGTAGTTTTCATAAGCTGTAAGTCATAATCATCACATCTATAAAAAAATACAGGCTTTAAATATTTGTCTTTGCATGGAATGAGTCTATCTCATGTGTTAGTTTCATCTTCAAAGTTGAATTACTGAAATAAGTGAACTGTTACACCACATTCTAATTTTTCAAGTGTCACCTGTAAATGTATTGGTTTAGTGGAGACACTGGGCATATTGGGAAACATTTAATGATGTGAAATAAATTCTCCACAGAAGACACAATTAAAAAGGTATGTGTGAGAAAGAATGAGGCTTGAGAATTAGCGTATTTCTGTAAGAACGAAACATACACTCTGATTTTCTGTCTGGTTCTAATTCCAGTTTTCAGATAAACCTTCTGACCAAACAGAACCACGGTCTGAGAACCTCCACTCCAGTTATGACCTGAGCCAGAACCAAAGGCTGACTACAGGCTGTCTGAGACCATTCTAACTACATGAGTTTTATTCTCCCATCAATGCTCCTCCAGCTGATCAGACATGTAACTGCAGAAAACAATCTGCTCACCCACAAAGCTCTGAATCTTGGTGTTCCACAGCGGTGCTGCCCTTACACCGTTAGCCACCAGAGCAAAGAAGGCTTTCTTCACCTGACCAGAATACACTTTCATTAAATCAGACCGGAAAACACAGTAGCAGCTGACAGAAAGTTGACACAATGATTTTCTTCATCTATTATATGTGCTATCTAACATGATGGATGTGATGAATCATACACTCTGTCTTTAGAACATGGAGCTCATGCAGTAGTTTGGATGGAAGCACCCTACCTGCAGCGTCGTGTCAAAGATGACCAGTTTGGAACTGGTGGGAATGGCATCGTAGCAGGTGTGACTCTTCATGAAGTTCATGTAGGTGAAAGTGTTGGGGTCTGTGCTAGCAGGAAGGGCCAAAAGGTTTGCTGCAGATGTACAAACACCTAAGAAACAAAGTGCACTCATGTCAAACACGAGGGTTTCTGATACTTGGTGAGAGCATCTTGTGTGTGTGTGTGTGATTCTAAGCCAGCGGAGATGTTTGACGACTTCATTCTGTTCTTTCTGTCCATCCATTTTTGTCTGCTTATCCGGGATTGAGTCGCGTTGGCAGCAGTCTAAGCAGAGTAGCCCAAACTTTTCTCTGCCTAGCCACTTCGGCCAGCTCCTCCGGGGGAATCCCAAAGTTTTGCCTGGCCAGCTGAAATACATAGTCCCTCCAGCGTGTCCTGGGTCTTCCTTTAGGTCTTCTCCCAGATGGACGTGCCCGGAAAACCTCACCAGGGAGGTGTCCAGGAGGCCTCCCAACTAGACGCCACATAGCCTCTGACATAGCTCTGACACTGGTCATATGGGGACGTAACAGCCTGTTTCAGAGGGCCTGGTACCACATACTCCCAAAGTACCCCCTACAGGGCCTCCCAAGGGAAGTGGTTGAACGTCTTCTCCAAATCCACAAAACACATATAGATTGGTTGGGTGACCTTCCACACACCCTCCAGGATCTCCCGAAGAGTATAGAGATGGTCCAGCATTCCACAGCCAGAACAAAAACCACATTACTCCTCCTGAATCCGAGGTTCGACTAGCTGATGGACCCTCCTCTTCAGAATACCCTGAACAGACTTTACCAGGTCGGTAGTGTGACCCCCGGCCTGTAGTTGGAACATTTGAATTGAAGTCCCCCAGGAGAGCAATGGAGTCACCAGAACCCTCCAGCACCCACTCCAGGGACTCCAAAAAGGGTGGGTAGTCTGATCTGCAGTTTGGTGCATAAGCACAGACAACAGTCAGGACCCATCCCCTCACATGCAGACAGAGGGAGGCTACCCTCTCATTCACCGGGGTAAACCCAACATACAGGCACCAAGATGGGGGGTAACAAGTATGCCCACCCCTGCTCGGAGTCTCTCAGTAGGAGCAACTCCAGAGTGATAGAAAGTTCAAACCCTCTCAAGGAAACTTTTTCGGGAGCCAGAGCCACGTGTCGAGGTGAGACCAGCTATATCCAACTGGAACTTCTCAACCTCACACACCAACTCCTGCTCTATGATTATATTTCAATGTTCTGAATTTTTTTTTTTGCATTAAATCAATATTTGCCTTGATGGCAAACATCTGGTGGAAAATTTGTATCAATAGCTCACTTGGAAATACCCTTACTGATAAAATGCTGATGTGTGAAATAGTTATTTGTCTGGAGTTCTGGAAAAAGGTGGTGCCTAGGTGAGTAGCTACTAGAGCTGTACACTATCAGAAACATCCGATATTCTTCAATATTGGAATGAGAGTGTGTGTTTTAGACACACAAAACATGACATTTTCTTTTTTGTTTTTTTACCTCTGTTCATAGCGAGGATGTCGTCATCGTCGTCATCATCCATCTCAAATAGGGGAACCTTTAAGAAGAGAAGTCAAACTGTCAAAATAGAACAAGTAAAAAGCTGCCTGGAGATCCAAACAGGAAAACGTTACACTAGATCTGACCTCTGAACTCAAACTGGACCTGTTTCAGTTGGTTTGTGTTTGATTAAATCAATAACACAGATCGTTCTGTCATGGTCAGACTGAAACACATCAGCAGCTTGTGTTCGTGGTAACGACTGGCTTGAACACATTAGACGGTTCTGCTCACCCTTTTCTCTTCTTGGGTGCAATGTCATTTCCAACAGGTCAGAGTTCAGAAATCCCAGAGTTGTTGAACGCAACATCAATGCTTGGTAAAGAAATTATCCTGAAGCTGAGGAGAATGTGTCTGTAGTTTTGTTTCACACTCAGCTGTTTGTATTTGCAGGTATTATTCTGGCTCATCCCTTTAGTTACACGTAATGCCACAGACTTAGATTGCTGGCGGACAGACGGAATATATTTCCTCACTCTGCTAGAGTTATTCTACATGTTTACATTTACTGTTATTGCTGCCATTAATTTTCTTTTCATTTCTCCTCCATAGAAATAAGAACTGGTCAACCCCTCTGGGTCTCTTTCCTGTCCTCTCAGACCCCAGCTGCTCCATCCTGGTTCTTGTTCTGAAGCAGATTGTTGCTCTTTGAGATGTTGCTGAGGTGACGACGCTGCTGCTCTCATCAGCATCAGCAGGAGGAGGATTAAGGAGACTCAAGAAGATGTTCGGTTCTGCTTACACACAATCTGTTACCATGACACTCTCATTTACAGTTCTCCTCCACACGCTCACGATGAGTCTGCCCAGAGTCAGAACCCTGCTCAGATGTGTTGACCAGCCTGTTTCCTGTACAGGCTGAACAGAGCAGGCCTTCGTCTCTGCAGCCTGAGTCTGGGCCTAATTTAGATCTGCCCTTTAGGCTAGCTTCTGCTGCAGACGCGCTCTGAGTTTAAACCTCAGACCATCTAGAGTTTCACACAGAGCTACTTGGTCCGTTTCAGTGCCACACAATCAGCACGCACCCAGCAGCTTTAGATAACACAGGGGCAATTATGTGAAAGCAGGAAAGTTTAATAAATCACAGAGGAAGCTAAATCCATTCTCTTTCAACAGGCATGAACAGTCATCACCAGTTTAAGGGTCTGCGGGTCTTTTGTGTTGGGCTCCTTTGGAAGCTCGAGAGAGCCTCAAGCAGAGGAAGAAGCAGGAGGCAGAGGCAGCAATATTTGGGAGCTGCGGTGTGAAAGTCGTCATTAAGGGGAGAGGGGTGGGTGGAGGATCAAAGCAGCAAGGTCTTACCTCTGCAAAAGGCTCCATGTCTTGGGAAGAGGGACAGAACTTCCCGTTTGACCACAGAGACCTGCTAAACCCTGAACATCAGACCACAACAACCTGTCCAGAGGGAGGAGAGACGTTCTGCCACCATCTCAGAGGAAGGGGTGATGGAGGTGAAGTGGAGAGAAATGAGGAAGCCCAAAAAATAAGTAACAAGGAAATCTTCCAGCTGGTGTTGGACAACTGGGTCAGAGCCTGGTATCTAAATGTGGACTGAGAGGCCCGTTGCACTGAGGGGAGGGGTGGGAACAGCTGGCAGAGGCTCTGGATGCTCATGTGGTGTCAGATAGTGAGTGGGTCTTCATCAGCCAGCAGCGGCTCAACATGGCAGCGAGCTGCAACACCTCACTCGCGGTGGAAAACGAACTGATGTTTGGCTCTTTATCTGGTTTGATCATCCAGCCTGACGATGAGGTGAAATGACACAAAAATTAAACCAAAAGGAACTCATTCATCATGTACTGTTTAACACTTTGTCTCTTCTTCAAAGAGAAGATTTTTTACTTACCGTGGTAAACCTGTCTCCCTCCCTCTTCCATAGTCAGTGATGCGAGTCACAGTCAGTCCTAAAAGGTAAAGCTCAGAAAAGCAGCCAGTATCAGCAGAAGAATCTGACGGTACCACCGGAGAATGTTGATGCTGCTTCTGCGTTTTATGGAGATGTGATGAGTTCTAAACAAGCTTCACGTCCTGTTTCAGAAGAGAAAACCTTACACCAAATCTATGGAAGCTTGTGTGAGCTCTGAGCATCTGAGAAACCAGTACTCCTACTGCTGTGAAAAACACAAAACAGAGCTCTCATCATTATTACTATTTCAAAGTTCCCACTTTTTTAAATGAGCAAACTTCAGCTGGAAAGCAAAGACCTGAGAGAACGTTGTGCATTAGCCTCCATTTGAACCTGCTAGGGAGACAAACTGTTGATGTGAATGAAGTGGAACGAATGTTTCTTTTCAAAACCTTTGAAGAGTTCAGATGGGTCAAAGGTTACAGTTACATGTCCGCCTGAGCAGAGCTCCAAAGAGGGCGGGCCTTTCTCACCTGTTGTTTGAGGGGATTGTTTACAATTCTCACCTACTTCCCTGCTCTGTTTCGTGTGTGCGACGAGCTGCAGGATGCAAACCTAAGCTGAGACCAGCACAACGACAGGTGACCTGTGATAGGTATTTTAGATTTATCCCATATTACCTTAAAGGACGACACACACACAGAGAGAGAGATTATTTGTAATGTCCATGACTCGTCATGCGAGAGCTGGGCGCAGAAACCCCTCCAAGGAGCTAACCAGCCCCCCATCCCCGGCATCTCCACCAAAATGTTAAGAAATTACATGTGGGGTAATATTTAATCTCCATAACCCTGGAACCTGAAATAAACACTCTTGACAACAAGGATGACAATTTACCCTGAGTCCCCAAAATAATGGAGAGTTAACACAGGGAAAAACCTCCTCCGAGGCTTTTCCCCCATCACTCCCAAGTCTCCTCAGTTTCCCAGGGGCTTTATTCAGCAAAAGGATGGAGGAGAAGGCGGGCCTTCTCAGGTTACAGAGGTACAGTTTTCAGTTGGAAACCCACAATCAACATCCTTGCTCAACCTTTCATGAACAGCAACAGTTGGCAAAAACAGATATTCATGAAGTGTTGTTAACACAAAATGGGCATCTTTTAGGCCTCAAAAGGGTACAATTATAAAAATACCCAACAACCTGCTCTTTGGTTTTTAGCACTGGCGCACCTCCAGAATCATACAGGTGAACGTTCCGCATCTGTCTGTTCTGGCTTTAAACACTCTTACATTTGAAGGTGTAAAAAGGAAACATTTGATTTCTAATGAACTGTTTTAATTTCACACCTCAATTATTGTATTGAGGTGTGGGGAAATACTTACAAAACCACCTTACAGCTGTTGTGTAATCTTTTAAAAAAGCTATAAGAATAATACATCATGTAGGATTCTACGAGATACCAGTAACCTACTTTTAAAATCTAATCTGCATAAGGTCATTGATATTGTAAAATATAATTCAGTGCTCATAATTTATAAAGTAAAAAATCAACTTCTTCCACAGAACATACAGAAACATTTTAGGGAGAGAGGAGGAGATTATATGCTCAGAAGTCTAAATAACATGAGACAACCACGTGTACGTACCACACTAAAGAGTATGACCATTTCAGTCTGTGGAGTGGTTTGGTGGAGTAGTATAGGAAAACATAAAAGCATGTAAAACTGTTGTACAATTCAAAAAATTATATATAAGAAAACTTACAGAAAACTACTAAATATCAAATGAATCATGATAGACATTAAGGGCTGTAAGAAACGCAATAAAAGATAAAGAGATCTAATTTAGATTTTATTTAAGATGTAAATGTGCGTTTATATGAATTTTTGTAAAGGTGATAAATCAAATTTTGCTTATTGATTTTGTTCATGGAGTATGTGTAGAGATGTTTATTTGGATTTTGAAAGTGGAGAGATATGTTAAGGGATAGGGGAAGGAAAAGCTTTGAGCTTCTCCCCATTAACCTTTAAGGACCAAAGAGGAATCTCTAACACAGGGGTGTCAAACTCATTTTAGCTCAGGGGCCACATTGAGGGAAATCTAATCCCAAGTGGGCCGGACCGGTAAATTAAAAACAACTTCAGATTGTTTTCTTTGTTTTAATACAATCAATATAAACCAAAGCTGGAGCCTGAGGACAGTGTATCCAAATTAGTACAAGTACAACACCTGAAGTGTACTTGAAAATTTGAAAAAATAAAATAAATAAATTAAAATAAAATTCCTTAGTGATTCAAAGAGCTTACAGATAACATGGCTAGATCAGTTTCATGCGGCACTTAAAGTATATTTGACTCATTTTACTTTACATCTTTTAGCTTTCACCAGCACATCAATATCAGAAGTCACATCCCGAGTGGCAGCCAACTTCAGGATGTGATTCAAGTTCTTGTGTGAGCCTTGAGTGCAGTTTTGTTTTATTTATACTCATTACAGAGGAAACTTGATCACAAAAAATAGTTTATTTTCACTCTACATTGTAAAGTGTGAAAATAAAGTTTACACAACCATCTCGCGGGCCAGAATTAACCCGTTTGCGGGCCGGATCCGGCCCGCGGGCCGTATATTTGACACCCCTGCTCTAAATCCTCTAAATAATTACTTTAATTTTATATTTGTATTTTAATTTTTATATTTTAATTTGTTTGAATGGTCTGAAGTGAATAAATAAAATAAAATAAAATTCTGTAAGAAGAACCCAGACTGTTTCAGGTTACTAAGACCAGAGTTCAGGACTAAACACTGGTCAGCACACCGACTTCTGTACCATAGATCACCAAATACGATTAATAACACGATACACAAAAATAAATGCACCAAAGGTTTTCTCGAGTTTCTTTATTAACCCTTAAAAACAACATCACCAAATTTGTACAGAAAGTAAATTTTATTTTCAACAGCAACAAAAATCTGTTGAATCAAATGTGCACTTGAGTTAAACTCTGTCAGCGGAGGTCAGAGGTCACCAGATGGAAGCATCAGGAGAAACGGACCAAGAGCAGCTTCACACCAGCTGGTTTGGAGATCAAGCTGTTTTTTCTTCACTGTGCAGGTGGTGGACGAAGTTCATTAAATGATCGGCTCACTACAGGGACACCAGATTACTATCAGTGAGAAAACTGTTCCATCAGATTAATCAATTACTGATCCAAGAATCAGATTAGTTCCTACATCAGATATATGAGCCTCAAACTTCTGTCCGGTCAGTGAAACGCTGCAGATTAAATCTGTAGGTTTTTTTTTTCAGCACCTGCTCCGTCTGAACACTCTGTAACTGTAAACAATAACAACTCACGTAAACACAGATGACCTGAAGTAACCTCTGCTGAGGTGGCAGATATTATTATGGTCTGATAATATCAGGGACCTTTGGTGGAATATAAACACCACCAGGATTTTGTTTTCTGGTGTCACTGAATCAGAACGTTAGTATAACTCACCAATACACCTGAGTTAGACACCCTTTAGAACAAAATGATGGTGATAAGCTGCTGTTCTTCTGATGCTCTACCTTCAAGTCATGTGGAAAACTAGGTTCTTTTGCTAACTTCATTCGGTGTTTCACTATGGGAATCGCCCTGGTGTGACCTCCAATGACATCAAGTCTGTCCCTGACAGACCGGTTGTGCTGTGCCCAGGCTCCGCCCACTCAGCATATCCACGGCCAACCAACCCCTCCTACTCATACTCGCTTTCTTCCCGTGAGACACTACTTTGCTCTTTCAGTGATTTTCAGGCTATCTTGGCTAGCTGCTCAACTGTTCCCAGGCGTACCGTGAGGATACGTTGCCGAACGCAGTCCCATCGCTGTCTGGATTTGCGCTGAGTAAGTGCTTCCAAGTCACTTGGTACACTTCGCTAGGAACAGTCACCACTTTGTGCCTAAAGTAATGGAGTCATCTTATAGCTGCTCCCCTGTGGAGCTGCTGGCTTTTCACCCACCTCCTTTTTCCTCAGCAGGAGAGCAGAAGCTTAATTGTCTCCGCCCGGTTCGAGCTTTAAGGGCTTATATGGACAGGACTGCTGGTTTCAGAAAATTAGAACAGTTTTGGGCCACGCCCCATAAAGGCAAGCCTGTGTCTAGCCAGAGACTGGCACACTGGATTGTAGAAGCAATCAGCCTTTCATATAGGTGTACGGGTGCTGAACCCCCTGTGGGGGTGAGGGCTCATTCTACAAGGAGCACGGCCACATCTTGGGCCCTGTTTCATGGTGTGTCAGTCCAGGATATTTGTGCAGCAGCTAGCTGGGCCACGCCGCTAACTTTTGTGTGGTTTTACAGGCTGGATGTGTCTCAACCTTCACTGACGCATTCAGTACTGGAGGCAGGATGCACAGCTTCTGCCTAGTGGTTAAGCAGAATTTTGCTGCAGCTCGCTTCGGGATGGACATGCAATCCGGGAGTGGGCTGTATCTCCCATAGTGAAACACTGAACAAAGTTATAAAAAGAACGTAGGGTTACGTTATGTAAACCCGGTTTTTTGATAACAGAGTGAGGTGTTTCACCAACAATTCCCTTCTTGCATTAACGGTAAGAAATCTTACGAATGAATAGGAGGGGTTGGTTGGCTGTGGATATACTGGGTGGGCGGAGCCTGGACACGGCACAACCGCTGTCAGGGACAGACGTGATGTGTTTAGAGCTTTCGTAGTTGGTCACGCCAGGGCGATTCCCATAATGAAACACCTCACTCTGTTATCAAAGAACCGGGGTTTACATAACGTAACCCTACGTTCTTTAGAACCATCCGGCTATAAAAACCAGGCGATCTCATCTGAGAAATGGCAGTTCAACACACTTGCACGCGCACACACACACGCACACACACACACTTCATAAGGCTTGTAGGACTGTGATAGCAGCAGCTAAAACAGCATTGCAGCACAGCTGTTAGGAGGAAACCGACCTGTGTGTGATCTGTAAACACTGCAGAGGCCTCAGTGGTAAGACACGAGAACCTAAATCTACAGAAACTAGGTCTATGTCCTGTAGAACCAACAAAAACCTGGTCCCTGGACCTGTAGAAGCTCTAACTGGTCTCACCATGTCTGCAGAAGTCCTGAGCTGGTTCTGGTTCCAGCTGATCCCTGGATGTGACCCGTGTAAACCTGACAATCTAACAGTCTGTCTAGTGAGGGTCCAACAAAGAGATCTTTTAAAGGTCAGAGTACAAAACCCGTTCCAGGTGAGTCCTGCTTCTACACATGGCTGTTGGACTGGGTGAGGTCTCCAGGTTCTCCTGAGAACTTCAGTGTTCACGTAGCCCTTTGATGGTCACAGCTGGGGCTCTGAGCTCTAGTCCAGACTGTCTGTGTTAGGTACCAGATTTCAGAGGGAGAACTGCTGGGACAGCAGGTTCTGGGTGAGGCTGGGTTGAGGGCTGGAACAGGCACTGCTGCTCACACTTGATCCAGGACTTGATCCAGAACTCAGCAAACCAGGCAGACTGGACACTGTCACTACCTCTGAGTCCAAAAGGTCCTCGTCTGTGGCCCTTTGGTGGCTGACCAGAACCCTGGAGGTGAATAGAGAGAAAACTGATGTCATGCTTCAGTGGGCAGGATTCTTTGCAGAACCAGACTTCACACCTCTGTAGAACCTCTGAAAGAACAACAGAACCAACAGACAGGGGTCTTTCTGCAGGGACTCTGCACCCTTTTCATGTGGTTTGGATTAGAGGTCGACCAATACTGGCTTTGCTATTGCTGATACCGATGCTATGGTCAGCCGATGGCTGACACCATGAGATTTTCCAGGTTATTTTCATGCTAAAATGTCACTAATAACATCAGTAGATGCAAAGAAAATCTGAGGCTGAATCAGTTTTTGTAATTTAGTGCACTGCTCAGTGTTAAAATGAGACATTTTACTGTAGTTAATCAATTAACTGATCAAGTACTAAATATTCAACAATGGTGTGCGTGTGTGTGTGTGTGTGCGTGTGCGTGTGCGTGTGCGTGTGCGTGTGCGTGTGCGTGTGTGTGTGTGTGTGTGTGTACCTCGATGGGCTCATCACGGTTGGTTTCTCTCGTTCTGACCAAAAATTATAGTTACCCCTGGACCACTAGAGACACACAGAAACATCATAGTTATATTAAAAGCACCAATGACCCATTAGAACCATCCCAAAGCATCCTGAAGAAGAAAGTGGGCTAGCTGAGGCATTAGTCCACGGTTCAGAGCTTTTGATGGACCCGAGCTGTAGGACAAATATTTTTAAAAAACATGTTTAACAAATGTTTTTTTCTAGTTTTCAAATATAATTCTGGATAAATTAGTCCATCATAGGCTTCAGGAAACATTACCTTATGTAACACACAGAGATCAAAACAGGTTTATCCTTGGACGACAGGGGTTTCATAATGTTAGAAGAGTTCTTAATATTATTCAGGGTCTGGAGGAAACCTCAGATAAAGTTCTCCTATCTTTGGATGCTGAAAAGGCATTCGATAAGGTGGAATGGCCTTCAATGTTCTGGAACGTTTTGGGTTCGGGAACAATTTCATAAAATGGGTTCAATTACTGTATTTGAATACAGCAGCTAAAATTATAACGAATAAGAACATCTCACAGCCAATTAAAATAAAGAGGGGATGTCGTCAGGGCTGCCTGCTCGCCTCTTCTGTTCACTTTTGCAATTGAACCGCTGGCAATAGCTAAAAGGAATAATGCAGCGATAAGTGGTTTCTAACTGTGAGCACAGGGTAGCACTATACGCTGGCAATATTATCTTGTTTCACACTTGAGGAAGACTATTCCCAACTATTTTAGATCTGATTAGTGCATTTGGTAAAATCTCAGGCTATACAATAAACAATACAAAATCCTCTATCCTACTGCTTAGTGAGAAAAACCTCTTTCTAAAAACAGCCTAAACAAAGGAGCTATATCAGAACTATACAATTTATTATTGTCCAATTCGCCTGAAAACTCAGACTCTAAATGGATGGCATGGAATGAAGATCTAACAACAAGTAGTTCAAAAGAGGATTGGGAATCAGCTTGTCATAAAGCACATAAACAATTGGTAAATACTCGATTTAGACTCCTCCATTACAAGTGGCTTATGAGAACCTACAAGACTCCAGAAAAACTGAATAGATATAATCGAAATGTGCCTGATATTTGTACAAAATGCACTGATTCTAAAGGAATGTTGTTCCATTGTATGTGGCAATGTCCTGAGGTGGAACTATTTTGGGAGGAGATCAGAAGAGCATTAGAGACAATTATTTTAAAAGATATTCCAAAAAATCCTATGCCTTTCATTCCAGGCATTTATCCCAAAGAACACAACTTTACAAAAAATGATCAAGTAATGATAAACATGTGCCTACTGCATGCCAAAAGAACAACTGCAATAAAATAGAAGGAAAGGCACAGACCTAAACTAATGCATTGGGTAAAACAAATGCTCATGGTGTTTCCCTGGGAGAGAATTACTTGTCTTAAAAAAGGAAAACTGCCATTATTTGAGAAAATTTGGGGACCATTTAAAAATTTTGTGGGAAATTATCAACTAATGAAAGACAATGGAGACTAATTTCAGATACAACTGGAAACCACCATAACGATTTCCTCTGAGACATGTACCGTAAATCCTCTAATACAGGCCCGGGCCTGTATTTGACTCAAGCTCATCAAGCTCCAGGCCTTTATTGGAAGGAGGACCAGTATTAGAGGCAGACCTCTATTTCTATTTGAGCAAAATGAACTAATGGTTCGCTGGAGTTTTTGACAATTAAAATTGCGCCCACATTTTCAAAGTTAAACACATTTCTTTTAACAACGGTAGTTTCTGCTTCAGCCGTCTCCCCCCTCCCCCGCGCAGCGGCCGCAAACTCACTGATGCGCCTGCAGCCTCTCAGAGTTCCTGCTGCTCTCAACATTAAAATAATTATTTCATTTTCTGTTCCTCACTTCTGATTACCTTCAGTGGTGTCTGTTTGTTGCAAGCATGCGCAAGCTGGTTAAGGTTAGGATGGGGGTGAGGGGAAGGTTTAATTGCAAGAGGGAAAAGGTCGCAATTTGGTTAAATGTCTGTTTTACGGCAGGTGTCAGTACCGACGCTCTGGCACAGCGCGTTGCACCCCCCCCCCACCACCCCCATCCCCCGAAGCGCAGGACCTTGTCACTTGCTGACAGCAGGCTGCTGTCTTTTTCAAGGACTGCATCTTGCCGGTCATTATCATGTGACAGCTACTAGTCGATGACAGGCATAACAAGTCACTATAGTGAAGTCGACTAGTTCATACAACCCTTATTGCTCCCCAGTGTTCTGCAGCATAATCAGCACGATCTCTTTGAACTTGATATCAAATTTTCGCCTCCTCTTCGTCTCCGCACCTGCCAAATCGCGGTCTGTCACTGGCAGGTCAAAAGTGAGACGGATGACCCCCCTCCCCCATGGTACTTGCTTGTTACCACATTCCACCCGGCCACAATAAAATACCGGCCATTATTCACCTCCGCTGACTCCGACACCGGCCAAAATATGATACCCGGCCGTTAACTGAATACAGGCCAATATTAGAGGATTTACGGTATCTTATTATATCTGGCTGTTTAATTTATAACAGGATAGAATGTTATTATTGGCAAGTTCCTTTTCTTTTTTCTTTCTTTGTATGTTGGTATATGCAGCGTTAGTCTTTTAGTTTCATTTTATCATTATTATTTCTCCTATTTTGCTGTAAGACATCGTGTTCAGATGTGCAATGGAGATTTCTTTGCGTATAAAACAATAAAAACATTGTTGGAAAAAATTTAGCCCATCACAAAGATATCACTAAAAGTTTTGCTCCAGAGCTTTTAAACAGAGCTGAATATATAACCAAGGACCACAATGAGGATAAATGAATATTTTCTATTCATAATTTCATTTATATCATCTGAAGGCTTTGAGGTAAAAACACAAACTAGACCGAATAGGATGTTCCCGGTTACTCACCATGTGAGCAGGGTCACTGGTTCCCAGGTGGACTCCTTTTTCACAGAAGCTCTTCAACAAACTGATACCTGCACACAAGACACAACCCGTCTCACAAACAAGACACAACCTGTCTCACAAACAAGACACAACCTGTCTCACAAACAAGACACAACCTGTCTCACAAACAAGACACAACCCGTCTCACAAACAAGACACAACCCGTCTCACAAACAAGACACAACCCGTGTATACATACATATATATATATGGGTTTTATATATATATATATATAGGTTCTACTTTAACTACCACCATCTTTACAGGCAACAATACGTCCACAGAGAGAACCTGTTGGAGCTGGTTTGGTACGTACATTTGGTCCGATTGTTCCAGTACTTCTGCTCCCACTGATCCAGCAGGATGTTCGGGTATCTTAGACACTCAAAGAAACGAAGGTAGCGTGATGACGATTGTGATGGGAAAATACGTTCAAACTCTCCTCGACGACTCAGCTCATCTTCACTCTCTGCCAGCACGTGCACGTCCTCCGGAGTCAAAACATCCAACACCGAGGAAACGAGATCCTGACACAGAGGAAACAAAATAAACCTTAGACTGCAGAACAGCACAGATTCAACCAGACCATGGACTGGTTTGAGATTTTACCTGGTCAGCAGAGGGCTGAGTGAGGAAGAAAGCTCGTTTCACTTTCTCATCAGCAGACAAGTCAGGTTTGGTCCTCTCCCTGTTACACACGCGCACGCGCGCACACACACACACACACACACGGCATATAATAATTTGTTTACCAACTCTTTTTTAACTCCAGGTTCTGGTGTGGCTAAATAAGGAGCAGCACCTCCTCCTTACCTATTAGAGGAGCTGGAGGCACTGGTGCAGGAGGAGATCTCCTTTTCTCTCTGAGGAATCTGGAAGCCAGCCAGGTTAAGAAGGTCTCTGATCATCTGGCCTTTAATGGAAATGTCCAGCTCTGAGTTGGAGTGAAGACTGAAGAGATGCAACAGGCAAAGATGTTATCAGACTGTGTGTGTGTGTGCGCGCACACGTGCGTGCATACGTGCGTGTCACCTGGGGGAGATGTTGACCTCCAGGATCCAGGGTTTCAGGTTCTCATCCAGCATAATGTCGAAGCCGAACAGCTCGTGGCAGCTGTACGTTGTTTTAACGTGCATTTTCAGGAGGTTGTTGACATATGGCTCAGAGCTGAAACACACACACAGAAGACAGGAAGTGAGTGTTGAAAACAGGAACCAGCTCCCCAAAAACAAACATGGATGTATGAACAGATGTATGGATGATCCAAACTACCTGCTAGAGTAGTACTGTACAGACGGGGAGGACAACAGCACTGACAGCCAGAGAGATGTATTTAAAAAGTAACAGAACCTGTGTTCTTGTTCTGATGTTTCACTTCTCCAAGAGCCTTCTTCAGCTCTAACCCAAAAGTGTGACGTAAAAAAAATTTCAATCAGCAGTGAGATCTCCATGATCGTGAGCTAACTCACAGATCAGTCTCCCTCCCGTCATGAGACAGGGTATCAGATTCTGAGCTGCCGTGTAAGCACTGGACAGCTGAAACCGGAGACCACCTTTGTTTAACTTTGATCTTTGTTGTTTTACAAAGATCTGTGGCCTCTGTCCAAACAATGAACATTTCTGTCCTCATGACCGTCTCTTATCTCTGAGATGTAGGTCAAGGATTGAAGTTCTCCGTTGTGGCGACGGAAATCTGTCAGCTGGACTAATCCGAAAAAAGTTCTGTCGAAATCTCTCTCTCTCTCTCTCTCTCTGCTAATTGAAATGCTCACCGGTGTTGAAAAGCGTTCCTCCACCGCCCAAGCTGCACAAACGCGCGCGCTCATTGCTGCGGTGCACACAGACAGCACGCGCATCAGGCGCCAATAAAGCTCTGATATCACAATGAGAGTTAACGTGATGAGCGGAGCCAGGACCCAAATTCCTGGTGGGCCGATCTGACGTCTGTGTTTTTTGTCGTCTCTTTTGTTTTTTTTCGGGCCTGTGTTCAGTCATGACACTCTGCTGACCACCTGCTGATGAGAGGATCTCTCCTGTCAGTGGAACTGGTGAGCTGCTGAACAAGCTTTACTTCCTAGAAACACTTTCTATGCCCAGACTGTAGTGACCTGTTATTTGTAATTTTATAATTAATATTACGTGAATGCACTAAACCCAAAAATAGATTAAATATTATTAATCATATTACTATCAAATGTAAATAAGTATAAAAGATAACTAATCTTAATGAAAAAATTATATTAATAACTTTAATTTTAATATTGATTACATTTCATTTCTAAGGTTTGGATGTATGTGAACATTACAGAATATTCAGATTGGTGTAAAGAACATATTATTAATAACAGGTTTATGTTTATGTTTATTTATTTGGCAGACGCTTTTATCCAAAGAGACTTACAATTTATAACCTGTAGGGCATGTTGTGATCTGTGGGGGAAACCGGAGTACCCGGAGGGAAACCCACGCATGCATGGGGAGAACACGCAACTCCACGCAGAAAGGCCACAGCCGAGCTTCGAACCTGCAACCTTCGTGCTGCGAGGCAACAGTGCTAACAACTGCGCCACCATGCAGCCCACAGGTCATGATCTAAAGCTGGTCTGAGGTATAAAACTGCCCTGGGTCTAAAGCCCTGCAGATGTATTTAGTTTCTATAAACACCAACAACAAATAAACAACAGCAGCTGGATTCTACTTTGTTCCTTAAACTGAGTCACGTAGTTTTGCAAGTTCTGCAGCTCACACGTTCAACGGGGAGCTCTGCCAGCTGACTGGTTCTTTTGGTATCTAGTGCAGTTCTGGTACTGAGCAGCATGGATGCATCAGCGGATTTCACTGTAGTCTGTGTTCATAATGGATTAAGAAAGGACAGGAAAACATTGTTAACTCAAATATATCATTATAATGAACATGCATAGATACTTTATCATACATACCTACCAGCCTGTAACTCTACTTTACCCCCCAAAATGCACCAGACTGATGCGTTTAAATATAAAATGTCCACTCATTTTTTCCGGGGGGACATGCTCCCGGACCCCCTTAGAGTACTTTAATACTTATCATCTTTTTTACCTCAGAGAAATCTCAACACCCACAGTTTTAAACACTATGTGAACGGGTTATTCCAAATTTTTCTGAAACAATACTGACCTTAAAACCAATCAAAACCCGAACAGCGGCTGCGTGTAAACAATGTGAGCAGTGAGCACACACCCCAATAAATTTCAGTCAGATGAGAATTTTTTGCTTCAATCCCTGATGTAGGTAGGCAGAATCTGCTCCAAGGTTCAGGTGATATGTTTCTGGAGATGTTTAAAGCTTCCATACCTTTTCTTTGTTTAAGGAACCTTAATCCCACATTGAAAACAACAGACTTCTGTTTTATTAATCAAGCATGTTAACAGCTACCAGCCTGGCCAGTGAGATGCAGGAGCCAAGATCACCCAGCCCTGGTGATAAGTCTGACACTGCCCCTCCTCCTCCTCTCTTCCAGGCTGCTGAGGAGCACAGCTGAGCTGAATCCTCCTGATGACCCACACCTGGGATAAAAAGGCTGTACCTTCAGCAGTGCAGGGGTTCTGCTGTCCTCCAGGCCTCAGTTTGGTTTCCAACCCCCCCCCCCCCCCCCCCTCTTTTTTTTTGATGAGTTAACTTTAAAGTTTTAACTCTGAGTTATGAGCTTTTAAAGGGTGAAGCTCTTAGATGATCCAGAGGGATCTTTTGATGTTGTTGATTAAAAGGTTAACTTGGTTTGATGCCATTTTATTGACTCCGGTTTTAAACACCTTTTGTGTTGGTAAAACTTTAACAATAAGTTTTTACCAGGTGTTTTAATAGTTGGTAATTGGTGTAATGTTAACCTTTTTTTTTTGTTTTGTTTTTTTTTTTTGCTTTGTGTTATCTTTATAATGCTCGCCATCTATTTGCTCTTGTTTTTAGAACCTTTTACAACAATTAACCATTTTAACTCCACTGTCGTATTTCTTATGTTGCCACCTCCTTCGCATTTTAACACCTCCTGTCGGGGACGTAACAAAGCAACGGACCGAAACACCAGCAAACTCACGCTATGATTGTTTTGATCACTATGTCTTTGATCTTGCCCCAGATCAGGGTGGTGTTGATGCCTTTTGAGCCCAGATACAGCCACAAGGCCTTCAGAGCCCTGGACAAGCAAACAAAAACAGTTAGTGAAGAAAATCCTCCTAACAGCAGACATCTTTATGATGATAACACTGAACTTTGACACCTTACCACTTGTGTCCCTGGCAGGCCTTGTTGTCGCTGTTGGTCTGATACTCAGAGTTCTTCTTGTTTACGCTGTAGTTGGTCAGGTGCATGAACTTGTTACCCAGAGTCTTGGTGGAAGATGAATACCTGCAGAAACACACAGACTCGCCCTCAGTCTGCATTCTCTCTCTGACCTGTTCAGATGTCTAGAGTTCTGGAGACTCACTTGCAGCTGGCAAAGCGGACCAGTCCATCAGAGAACATGTAGATCCTGAGTGGGTCATAGGAGGGCACGTAGACATAGATTCTCAGGTCAAACTTGTTTCCCCCAATCAGGTAGGGCTTCTGGAGGTACCTGAGGACAGAGACCTTTCAGAATCGAAATATTGGCACAGCTTCTGATGAACAGGTTGGTCTATTTAGCTCCAGTTTGCTTACTTCTGGACCAGCAGTGGCCTCTTCTTGGGCATTTGACTCCACTTGTGGATCACTTGGATCCCCATCCCTCTGGCTGATGCAGGCTGGCAAAAAGAGAACAGAAAACATGAAGAAAGGCTGACAACAGCTCTGAGTGGGCAGTGTTTCACCTGCATGACCCAGTCTGACAGATCTAGTGTGCTGCTTCAATCCCTGTGAGGTCTCTGGGTGATCCAACTTGTTCTGAGCCTCATTTCTGTAGTCAGAGTTTCTCCCTTATCCTCCAAACTAAAGCATGTTGGTGTTGCTCTCACAAGTGCTAAGGCCAACCACGTATTAGAAACAATCATTTAAAATGGTCTAAAGCCAAGGATAACATAACCCTCTCTACTCTCTGTTCACACGCAGCAGAATTTACCGGTTTGACGATCCACTTCTGTGTGGAGCCGCCGTCCTCCCAGGCCTTTCGGAGAAGCTTGATGTCCTGAGGAAGGATGAATGTCCGTGGGAGAAAACTGAACTCCTTTTTACCAAAACGAAGCTGCATCTTTGACAGATTCCTCCACAGACGATCTTTCCTGCCGATCTCAAAAGTTCCTGGGAAGTGGTTCAGCTACCAAAACAAAATGTATGTTTAGCTCTGGGATTAGAACACAAGTAGAGATAAGATGGCAGCGCCTCACCTTCTGGTGTTCGCCAAGTGCTTTGAAGCCTGGAGACTTCATGTGGTGTCCCCAGCAGCCTAACCAGTCATGGCTTCCTGCATCAGTAACACATTCATCGGACTCACTTTGAGTTAGGAATCACGTTTGTAGCTCAGGGGCTACACTTCATACAGGAACAATTAGATATCAATGGAAAAAAGGATTTTTATCTATTTGTTTTTATTAAGAACAATTAGAGTAGAACTTACCTATGATAATATAAGAGTAAGTGAATTTATTTCTATAGCATTTCTCACAGATACAAACCATAGAAACAAAATCAAAATTAAATCAGAAAAAACAAATGAAAGTTTCAATTTAAAAGATTAAGAAAGAGAATCCCATCCAGAGGGTTCTGTTACAAAAGTGGTTCAGAACATCAGGGTCCTCATTTATCAAAGGTTTGTAGGGACAGTCCTGTATTCAATCCTACAAATGACACGGCCAAAATCCTGCTTCATGAAACATGCAGTGGCCACTCATACATACCGCATTCGACTGATGATACAGTGGGATGCGAAAGTTTGGACAGCCTTGGTAATCTTCATGATTTTACTGTATAAATGTTGGTTGTTACGATAAACCGCTTCAGTTAAATAGATCATATAGGAGACACACAGTGATATTTGAGAAGTGAAACAAAGTTTATAGGATTTACAGAAAGTGCAATAATTGTTTAAACAAAATTAAGCAGGTGCATAAATTTGGGCACTTTTGTCGTTTTGATTCTAAAACCTTTAGAGCTAATTATTGGCACCGAAAGTTGGTTTGGTAAGCTCAGTGACCCTTGACCTCCATACAAGAAAGAAAAAAATTCTTTTATATAGCGCCTCTCAAGATAAAAATCACAAGGCACTTAAAAAAATTAAAAAAATATCCATCCATCCATTTTCATCCACTTATCTGGAGTCGGGTCGCAGGGGCAGTAGCCTAAGGCGAGAGGCCCAGACTTCCCTCTCCCCAGCCACTTGGGCCAGCTCCTCTGGAGGAATCCCAAGGTGTTCCCTGGCCAGGTGAGAGACATAGTCCCTCCACTGTGTCCTGGGTCTACCTTTAGGTCTCCTCCCGGTTGGACGTGCCCAGAAAACCTCACCAGGGAGGCGTCCAGGAGGCATCCTGACCAGATGCCTGAGCCACCTCAACTGGCTCCTCTCGATGTGGAGGAGCAGCAGGTCTACTCTGAGCCCCTCCCAAATGACTGAGCTTCTCACCCTATCTCTAAGGGAGAGCCCAACCACTCTTCGGAGAAAACTCATTTCAGCCGCTTGTATCCGCGATCTCGTTCTTTCGGTCACTACCCAAAGCTCATGACCATAGGTGAGGGTAAGAACGTAGATTGACCGATAAATCGAGAGCTTCACCTTCTGACTCAGTTCTCTCTTCACCATGTCAGACCGGTATAACGCCTGCATCACTGCAGATGCAGCACCAATCCGCCTATCGATCTCACGTTCCAGTTTTCCCTCACTCGTGAACAAGACCCCGAGATACTTAAACTCCTCCACTTGTGGCAGGACCTCATCCCTGACCCAGAGAAGGCATTCGACCCTCTTCCGAATCAAGACCATGGTCTCAGATTTAGAGGAGCTGATTCTCATCCCAGCTGCTTCACACTCGGCTGCAAATCGCTCCAGCGAAAGTTGAAGATCACGTTCTGATGAAGCCAACAGGACCACATCATCTGCAAAAAGCAGAGACCTGATCCTCAGGCCACCAAAACGGATGCCCTCCACACCTTGGCGGAGTCCAACTCTCACTGGGAACGAGCCTGACTTACTGTCGGCAATGCGGACCAAGCTCTGACACCAATCATATAGGGACCTAACGGCCCGCATCAGAGGGCCTGGTACCCCATACTCTCAGAGTACCCCACACAGGGCCCCCCGAGGGACGCGGTCAAACGCATTCTCCAAATCCACAAAACACATGTAGACTGGTTGGGCAAATTCCCACGCACCCTCCAGGATCCCCCTAAGGGTATAGAGCTGGTCCAGTGTTCCATAGCCAGGACGAAAACCACATTGCTCCTCCTGAATCTGAGGTTCAACAATCTGACGGACCCTCCTCTCCAGAACCCCTGAATAGACCTTACCAGGAAGGCTCAGGAGTGTGATCCCCCTGTAGTTGGAACACACCCTGCGGTCCCCCTTTTTAAATAAGCGGACCACCCCCCCGGTCTGCTAGTCCAGTGGGACTGCCCCCGATGTCCATGCGATATTGCAGAGCAGCGTCAGCCAACACAGCCCCACAACATCCAGAGCCTTAAGGAACTCCGGGCAGATCTCATCCACCCCTGGAGCCTTGCCACAGAGGAGCTTTTTAACCACCTCAGTGACCTCAGCACCAGAGATTTGAGAGGCCAACCCAAAGTCCCCAGACTCTGCTTCCTCACTGGAAGACGTGTCGGTGGGATTGAGGAGGTCTTCGAAGTATTCTGCCCACCGATCCACAACGTCCTGAGTAGAGGTCAGCAACACACCTTCCCCACTATACATAGTGTTGGTAGCGCACTGCTTTCGCCGCCTGAGGCGCCAGATAGTGGACCAGAATCTCCTCGAAGCCGTACGGAAGTCTTGCTCCATGGTGTCACCAAACTCCTCCCATGCCCGGGTTTTTGCCTTGGCGACCACCCGAGCCGTGTTCCGCTTGGACTGCCGGTACAGTCAGCTGCCTCTGGAGTCCCACAGGCCAAAAAGACCTGATAGGACTCTTTCTTCAGCTTGACAGCATCCCTAACCGCCGGTGTCCACCAGCGGGTTCGGGGGTTGCCACCACGACAGGCACAGACGATCCTGTGACCACAGCTCCGGTCGGCTGCCTCAACAATGGAGGCACGGAACAGGGTCCATTCTGACTCAATGTCCCCTGCCTCCGCCGGAATATTTTGGAAATTCTGTCGGAGGTAGGAATTGAAGCTCCTTCTGACAGGAGACTCTGCCAGACATTCCCAGCAGACCCTCACAATACGTTTGGGCCTGCCTGGTCTGACCGGCATCCTCCCCCACCATCTGAGCCAACTCACCACCAGGTAGTGGTCAGGTGACAGCTCCGCCCCTCTCTTCACCCGACTGTCCAAGACATGCGGCCGCAGGTCAGATGAAACAACAACAAAGTCGATCATCGAACTGCGGCCTAAGGTATCCTGGTGCCAAGAGCACCAGTGGGAGCAACTCCAGAGTGGTAGAAAATCCAACTCCTCTCAAAGAAACTGGTTCCAGAGCCAGAGCCATGCGTTGAGGTGAGTCCGACTATATCTAGTCGGAACCTCTCAACCTCACACACCAAATCAGGCTCCTTCCCCACCAGAGAGGTGACATTCCATGTGCCAAGAGCCAGCTTCTGTAGCCAAGGATCAGACCGCCAAGGTCCCCGCCCTCGACTACCACCCGTCACACACTGCGCCTGACCCCTTTGGCCCCTCCCACGAGTGGTGTGCCCATGGGAAGGGGGACCCATGTTTCCTCTCGCTAACGTGCCCCATCTCCAGGCCTGGCTCCAGAGGGGAGCCCTGGTGATCCACGTCCGGGCGAGGGAACACGGTTTCCATTTACTAAAATATAAAACAGATTTTAAAAAATGATTTAAAATATGTTTTAAATGAGAAAAAAATGTGATTAAAAATGTAAGGAAAGGGAAAGAGAAAATGAATAAGAAAGAGGGAAATCAGTGGCTCCCAGGAAAGGTGGAGTTGGTAGAAAGAGCAGAATAAGGAGAAGGTAGTGATGAAGGTCACACAAAACCAGCTTGAACAGGTGAGTCTTCAGCTGCTTTTTAAAGACCACTGAGGCCACTGATCTCAGGCTCAGGAGGGGAGAGTTCCAGAGTCTGGGAGCCACAACAGCAAATGATCTGTCACCTTTGGTCTTTAGTATGGTGCACTGCATAACCAGTAGGCTTTGGTCACTGGACCTCACTGGACCATATGTATAAATATGGTAGGAGATTCCTTTAAAGGAGTTCAGAATGTGCTGAAGAAGAAGCAGAGAGAGGAGGAAGAGTAGAGGCCCCAGCACAGAACCTTGTGGGACACCATGGGTGAAGGAGGTGGTGAAGGACCGAAAATTGGAGACAGCCTCTAAGAAAGAAAGCTCAGACAGATATGAGGAGAACCACTCCAGAGCAGTTTCTGATAGGCCTACCCAGTCTCTCAGCCTATCCAGTAGCAGGTGATGGTCAACAGTGTCAAAGCCGCAGTCAGGACTAGAGCAGAACAGTCCTCTGCATCATTGTAAAGGTCATTAGAGACTCTAAGAAGAGCTGTTTCAGGAGAATGAGCTCTAGGTTCTCCAGTCAGGTGCTCTATGAGAACCTGACTGGAAACTATCATAGATGTTTTGTTCATCAAGAGCAGCTGTGAGCTGTTTAGCCACAACCTTTTCCAAGATGTTGGAGATGAACGGAAGTTTAGAGATGGGTCTGAAGCTACTATAGAGAGAAGGGTCAAGACTCGGCTTTTAGAAAAGCAGGTGTATTACAGCATTCTTAAAGTAAGCAGGGACCTGACCAGAAACCAGAGAAGCATTAATTATAGAGAGCACACTGGGACCGATGGACTGAAAAGCACTTTTAAACAAAGATGAGGGTAAGATGTCGAGGGGGCATGCGGAGGTCTTCATAGAGTTAACCAGTTTGGTTAACTCAGGCAAAGAAACAGGAGCAAAGCTATCTAGGATGATGGGCCGGATTGGAGTTGGGAGAGGCAGAGATAAGGCTGAGGGAGAAATGCTAGATCTGACCTTATTGACTTTGTCCACAAAGAAAGACAGAAAGTTTTCACAGTCTGCAACAGAGTGGATGGAGGCTGTAGGAGAGACAATACTGCTGATGGTGGTAAACAACACTGTTGCTCTGGGACATCAGGTTGGAGAGTTAGAGGTCAGAAGATCCTTTAGATGCAGCAAATGGACGTGGAGACGGATTTTCTTCCACAAACACTCAATTTTTCTGCATTGGCACTTTAGGCTGTGAATGCTGTTGTTAAACCAGGGAGTAGGGTTCACTGCAGGAACTGATCTGGTTCTGACAGGACAGGTGTTGTCCAAAATGGAGAGGCAGTGCTTATTAAACTGAGAAGTTAATGAATCTGGGTCCGTATCAGAAGAACAAGGTGGATTAAAAGCAGCAGAAAATTTGCTAGCTGTGCTCTTCTTAAGAAAATGAGAACTAACCAGACGGCGAGCAGGAGTTGGGGATGCAGAAACTGACAAGTTAAAGAAAATGCAATGGTGATCTGAAATATAAACGTCCTCAGGACAAACACTGTCAGCATTTAGACCCAGGGTAAAAACAAGGTCTAAAGTGTGTCCCCTGGTGTGTGTGGGGCCAGAAACATGCTGGGTAAAGCTGAAGGAGTCCATGAGGCTGGAGAAGCTCATGGCAAAGTGGTCTGAGGGATCATCAACGTGGATGTTAAAATCACCAACAATCACCAGTCTGGACAGCTTCTCAGCGGAGGATAAGAAGTCACTACACTCCTGAAGGAAAGAACTGTTTGGACCAGGTGGATGATAAACCACACCGCAGTAGAATGGGTCCTTACACTCAACTTTACACAGGTAAATCCAGTTATGAGAAAGAGTATTTGTAAGTTTCCCTCCTCTCAGAATATTCTCTGAAGAGCAGCAACATGGGGTCTCTAAACAGCTCTCACATGACCTGAAAACAAAGATTGTTCACCATCATGGTTTAGGGGAAGGATAAAGAACAAGTAGAACGTTCTGGAATGGCCATCTCAGTCCCCAGACCTGAATATTACTGAACATCTGTGGTGTGAGCTAAAGAGAGCTGTCCGTGCTCAGAAGCCATGAGACCAAAATGAACTAGAGATGTTTTGTAAAGAAGAATGGTCCAAAATTCCTTCAACCAGAATCCAGACTCTCACTGGAAGTGTTTAGGGGCTGTTATTTCTGCAAAAGGAGGATCCACTAAATATTTAGTTAATTTATTTTTTGTGGTGCTCAAATTTATGCACTTGCCTAATTTTGTTTAAACAATCATTGCACTTTCCGTAAATCCTATAAGCTTTGTTTCACATCTCAAATACTTTAACACTTTCTGACAAATCAAGATAGATGAAATCTCACCATTCCAACTCAACCTCTGAAAAACTGAATTACTTGTCATCCCAGCGAAACCATCCATACGGCACAACATCTCAATCCTAAATGATTCCTTATCTCTGGCTTCTTCAAAGGCAGTTCAAAATTTGGGTGTTATGATTGATGACCTTCTGACCTTTAACCCTCTTATGACCATATTTATAACAGGGCCACCTGGTATTTTTTTAATGTTATGGCTGTAAAATTGTAATAAAAAGTGCAAGGTGTGTGTAACTCTTCTCCTTTTTTCAGAACAACCTCAGCTTTCAGTGTATGGTTTGTATTTAGAATGTATTTCTATTAAAGCCTTTAAAAAATCAGCTTAAAAGTGAAAAAAGCAAAAAACGGATTTGAATTTTTTACATTTATTACTGAACAGGAACTTCAAAATGACTTGGGCGAACAATTTGGAATGAACAACTTAAACTTTGAACTGTAATGCATCTATTCTTAAAAAAGTTTGAACCTTGGTATCTTTGGTAAACAGGTTTTAAGACCATTTATTTTTGTAAACTTTCAGATGTTATTTATTTTAGCAAATAGTTGAGGGTTGTTCAAATAAAAATAAAATAAAGACTGAACAAACATTCATACCCTGGTTCACTGGAGATCTGTCCTTCTACGTGGTCACTGTCTTCAGATATAAGCCTTTTGGGACACTTAATAGATTGTGTTGATTTTCTTTGAGGCATTTCCATAATTTCATGCCGGCTTTTTATGCTAATTAGCTTCCCCGTTCCGTTATCCGCTTTCACCACAGCGCTGTAAAGCAGGATTTCCCCTCGTAGCAATATTTTCCATAACTCTGATTGCTTCAAGCTATAAATCGTTGGAAAGCGGCTTTTATGTACTTTTTGGAACTGTTGGTATTTTTTGAATCTGATCAGCCATTCAAAAGTTATAAAACGGAGCATTTTGGATGACAAACTCAGCACGTCTCTGAATCTGTCTTGTGATTTGTTGAGCTCAAGACAGGGAATCCCGGTGGCTACCGTAATGTATTGTATATGCACGAAAAGCCCTATTTTTAATCTTTTCAGCACTTTTGGAATTTTACAGATATCTTGAAGGGTTCAGGAATTATGGTAATGAGAAGTGCGCATGTCAAATCCTGTTGGCGGCGACAGGTTGGTAATAAGAGGGTTAAGGATCACGTTGCCTCTGTCGCTCGTTCATGCTGTTTTGCGCTGTATAACATACGTACCTAACACAATATGCCACCCAGCTCCCAGTGCAATCTACTGTCATCTCCCGCCTTGACTACTGCAATGCCCTTCTAACTGGTCTTTCAGCCTTCACTGTGAGACCTCTTCAAATGGTCCAGAATGCAGTGGCACGCCTGGTCTTCAATCAGCCTAAAAGAGCACATATCACCTCTCTGTTCATTGAACTCCATTGGCTAACGCTATCTGCACACATCAAATTCAAATCGCTAACAGTAGCATACAAAGTCCTGGATGGTACAGCTCCCATCTACCTGAATCCTCTTGCAAAGGCTTACATCACAGCCCTGCCGCTCCTGTCATCAAAGGATTGCCGGCTAGCAGTGCTTACACCACACTCAGGACAATCCGGATTAGTTTCATGTGTCGTTGACCTACGAAGCACTACCAGAACAGCGGCGTCCTTGTTGATTTTCAAGAAACCCCTGAAGACCCAACTCTTCAGAGAGCATCTTCTAAACTAGAACGCTCCCTGCACCCGTCCCCCACTCTCCTGCACACTCCATGTTCGCTTCCCTCTATGATTCATTATGCTGCCTCATTGCCACCTGGGATTGACTGAATAGTGTTTGTTGTTAGCCTCAATGGCAACCTGCTGGCGTCATTATCACCTTTAAGTCGCTTTGGACAAAAGTGTCTGATAAATACATAAACAAATATCACTGTGTGTGTCTCCTATATGACATATTTAACTGACATTTTTATCGTAACAACCAACAATTCATACAGGAAATTCATGAAGATTAACAAGGCTGCCCAAACTTTTGCATTCCACTGTAAGAGTAAAGGGACTCAGATCTGAGAAGTGAGATAGGTTAACAGCTGGACAACTCACTCTTGGTGGCTTTGAAGTGTGACCTGGCGATGGTGTGTTTGACGATGTTGGGAGTTACAGTGCTCATCTTCCATTTCAGCAGTCGTCTCTGCTCTGCAGGTAGCAGCTCCACTGAAAGTCAACACACACACACAGACACGTGTCACAAAGCTGAGAGGATTCAGCCGCTAGACCACCATCTGACTGGGCTTCTGGGGGTCATTGAATTGTTACAAACTAAGATTTTATTTTTTATCTGGCTGTATGTGGAGCAATAGCAAACTAACTGTGACAGGTGTGTAAATTGTATTAAACAGTTTTGTCAGAAAGTATCTTCATTAGTTGTCACTTTACTCCAGATCTGGTCTTAAACTCCTTATAAAGCCAGTCTCACATTTCTCTATTTCCTGATGAGTTCCAGGTGGGTTTCTCCCAGGAGAACAGAGCATGACCCATCTTGGAAAACTAGGAGTGTTTTGAGAGGAACACTGTCCAGCAGATCATTCTATTGTGGTCAGAGTTCCAGCAACACCAATAGACAACTGAGAGAAAGCCAAGAACCCCTGGGAATGTTTAAAAATAATGAAAATGGAAAGTTTTGATAATGCTGTTTGCAACATTAGTTAGACAAGTAAGGTCTGTCTTTAGGAATGGAGTAAAATCAGTCAGAAATGAGAAATCCTTAAAGAAGTCTTGATTTTGAACTTTGTAACTTGTTACAATATACAGTGCTCTGCATAAATGAGTACACCCCATTGTCAGAAAACCTTTAGTTTCCTTTGAAAATCAACATTTCCTATGAAATACCATACAACAAAATACTCCCACAAATGTGGCCCATGGGCTGCAAACAAGATTTTTTCATTTGCACACAAAAAGTGATTTTCCTAACAAATCCATTCAACCCATGATGCAAAAGTGAGTAGACCCCAGTTATAGTCTTAGAAATATAGTCAAAGAAAAGCCCTTCCCATTTCATGCTGTCAGCAACGGCTCCACATGGAAGAGAAATGTCACAAAATCTGATGTAAGGGAATTAAATGACTGTTTTCCACCTAAAAGTCATCCCCCCCCCCCCCCCCCCCCAACAAGAACTAATCTGCATGAGATTTTGTTCAAGATTTCATGCATTTGCTTCTAAACTGTTTTCCTTTCCAGCCCAAGAGAAGAATGAAGACCAAGGACTCTTTTTTAATAAATCAAAGAACTCTATTTTTAATAAGCTAATCAAACAAAGTGTTAGTCAATAATAAAATGTGAACCAATTTGTGAAATGAAAATATTTATTACTTGATATTATAATCCTACAGAATATAATAAGTAATAAAACTTTAAATGTTTCCACTAGAGACTGATCACACGTAATGTTAAGTCACATGACACATTTCCTTTTCTGATCCAATCAGAATCTGCCAGATCTGACAGAGGCGTGGTTTTGGTGGTGCTTGGTAAATCTGTCATCTTTTCATTCGACCATAAACCAAAACATCCGAAGTATAAACTACGCCCACGTCATCTTTAACGCCAGTTCAAAGTGTTCTAGAGAAGTTGTCGGAGTGGCCAATCCGTAACTTTACTCTTCAGCAGAAAGATCCAATGACAAGCTGGATAAAATCTGTTGCTGCTCCAACTGCTGCAACGGTTCCTTTCAGAATAAAAGCTGAACCATCACAACCTCATTTTGGGTCTTGCTAGTTGCCAATAAACTGTCGTGACCCGGAAGTATCTCAAAGACTGGACTGGTCGGCGGCCGCGGCTGTGCTACGGGCTTCGGCTCCAGAAAGGTCCAAGCTGGACCTCTACACCTCCTGATCTAGACGGGGACTTCCGCCAAGGGTACGTAGACCGACAGAATGGCGTCTCAATGTGAGTTATGAATCTCCAAATCAAAGCTTAGCGCGAAAACATCACCTTCACTCCCATCAGAACTAATCGTTTCTTCTGATTTGCTGGTTCTGAACAACATTCCACACTACACCATTCTCCGTCTCACTTCACCTTAGTAACACCATACATTTAGTGTTTAAAGTTAGTCTAGTTTTAATTTGTTTAGTAATAAATCTTTAAACTTTTAAAACTTGACTCTCTTTTGTCTCTGAGTTATTACGAAGTTGTTACATAATCCCTGCAACAAAAAGTTCCAATCTTCTGGTTACCCAAAGATCCATAAAATTGATTTTATATTTGATATGGAATCTTGTAGCGTCAAGAAGGTCCTCTAATTTGTGACAAAGGTCACATTTTCCCAGCTGGGTCAGCTGGGTCGACTGTAACTTTGCCCCACAGATTAAACAAGCGAGGAGCCATGATGTCTGCTGAATATCATCTATATCTGCTGCTGTTCCGTCTCAGATTGAAGGACACTTCAAGATTACAATAAGAATTTTTAAATAATAATTTTAATAAACTATGACTTTATTACGGTTCATTATAATCATCATAACTAATCTCTTGGTTCAGTATAAATGTATTTTTGATTACTGAAATGACTTCTTATGCTTTGGGAATAATAATTATTATTCATGATAATCAGTAATGTGTGTTCAGTAAACCAGAAGGTCATTTGCACGTAACCAGCCTCATTCAGAAGGGTGTCCAGGGTAAAAGTAATCTGCCATCACATGTCTTTGACTCATGACCAAAGCTTTCTTGTTCTGAGAGTGGGCGTGTTCTGAGGGGTTTGTTAAAACTAACTTTCCAGCAGCAAAACTTCAGTTCGTGAACCAACCACCATCCTGAGGATAAGGGAACGGCCGCCCTGAACCCTCTACCTGCTGTTCTGTCAAGCTGAAAGAATAGCTTTGAATAAATGCACGATAACCAGCTGACGCAAAACTCCTTCAGAGTTATTGATTTTGAGACGCAAATAGTTTCATCAGTCGTGTGACCCACGGAGACATCCCAGGACTGATTTGGTTGCATTGAGGTCCTTCTACCAGCCTCGTGCCTGGAGGAAATCATCTCCACCTGACATCTCGGATCCAGAAGGGGGTCTCCTGAAACTGGGTGAGGTAGACACTTTCGACAGATGACGTCTGATGCCGTTTCTCTAAGTAACAACCGAGTTAGCTGCAAAACCATCATTTCACCCAGAACGAGCTTCTCTCTCTGAAAGAAACCTTCTGAGAACATTCACGCATCCAAACTCGTATTTTCAATTTAGCTTTCTTTCAGTCACAGGTTTGCCTTTAAAACAAGTTTTAATATCAAAGCTGGTAAATTATCCTCCATGAAATGTCATTTTTAATTGTCATTTAAATTGTCATTTCTGAATTGTCGTTCCAAATTGTCAAGTTTAAAATTGTTAGTAATAAATTCTTAACTTTAAAAACTTGACTCTCTTCTTGAAATTAAACACAGAATGATAAATATTTCGGGTTATTGAAAAAGCAAAGATTCCTAACTTCTGATTAAAAAATGAACTTTTGCAATTAAATTTAATTACCTTAAATTAAACATTAATCTTTGGATTAAATACAGACCAAGCAGGTCGGTGTATGAACTTCTATCGATTATATAAGTATCCTGGATATTTATACATGATATAAGCTTCATATGCTAATGTGCTTGATCATTCTCAGAATCTAACAACTGATAGCAAACAGTGTTGATTCTAGTATGTAGAGATACGCTACAATCTCATGTCTTATGGTTCATTAAATAGATGTAAATTAAATTCTTACACCTTAATTTCATGTTATAGAGCAGGGATTCCCTAAGTGTGGTGCGCGCACCCCCTGGGGGTGCGCGAGCTGCCGCTAGGGGGTGCGCGAGGTGAAAAGTGTAATGGCTGCGGAGCTCAGAGAAGTCTGTCACATGTCACCATTAGCGTAGCCAGAATCTCATTTGTGGGTGGGCCTAAGAAAAAGTAAGTGGGTCCAATAAATGTACTTGAAAACAAGTATATTTTTGCACGTGCGTGTGTGTCCTCCGCATGTGCCCTAACTTCATAATAACAATGCGCCGAGCTTCAGCACTCTGGCCTGCGCACGCCGATATGTTCCGTATTTGATCATTTTTAACGGTGTTGGAGGAATCTGAAGGTGGCGAGTCATTCTGGCAGATTGTAATTAACACCCTGTCTCATGCAGGTGTTCTGACATTGTAAACCTCATACACAGAACATTGTGGATGTAACAAAATAAATCAAGAAATGATTCCCATTCAGGCTATTAACAGCGCGCTGAAGATCTGAAGTTCAGAGTGCGTCTGTCAGAGGTCAGACGCGTTCCGGCTGAACCACGGCTCACGGGTGCACAAGTGAGCACATCTGGGCTGGGCAGAAGTAATTTTACAACAATGGTTTAAATAGCGCCAATAACGAGACGCGGTGACTGGAGCGGCTCATGGAGTTGTGCCGCACACACACACACACACACACACACACACAGATTCAATAAGCGTGCACGCTGCGCAAACTCCGGCGAGCCGTCAGACTGAAGACAGAAATGAGCGCTGCCTCCTCCGTGATAAAAAATTTAAGAGGTTTTATAACATTTTTCATTCCAGGTCAAATTAAGATATTAGCTTCTATTTTGGGATGACGTATTAAAATCGAGTCCGCTCCAGCCAGTGACTCCGAACCTGACTACAACTCATGTTACTGCAGCATTTGTTATTCCAGTCCACATGGCAGCGGATCGCAGATTCAACCACACCATAAAACAGCAATAAGTCGGTCTGAGGCAAAAGTGAACCTCATGGCTACATCTTTTCCATCTTTTCCCCTATAGACATTTGATTACGCACAAGTAGGTGATCAGCTCAGGTTTATGCAGAGCAGAAGGAAGGAGAGCGCTCTGGCCGCACAGGTTAAACGTTCCTGCTTTAAGAAAATGTTAAATTTCATTGTTTATGTGCTACCTGGGCACTCTAAATATTTATTTAAAATTAAATCAAAGGAAATTGTAATGGTATCGAATGTTTATTAATTACTATTTAAAAAGTGAAAGTGATGGGGAAAAAGGTTGATCATATACTTTTAACCCTGTCTGTTTAGCTTGACGTCGGATTATATATATATATATGTATATATATATATATATATATATATATATATAGCCATGCCCTGATGTGGGGGCTGGGGGGTGCATCGACATGGTCGGGACATAGAAGGGGGTGCGCGGCTAAATAAGTTTGGGAACCGCTGTTATAGAGTTAAACAAATGTTCAATAAAACCGGCCTTGTGAAAATCCTGTAAATTGTTCTTTTGTTCATTGAGCTACTGAATAAATTTGTACTTTTTAAAGGGAGTGAACTCATTTATGCTGAGCAGTGTAAAAACTGAGATGGAGTAAATCTCCAACTGGTTCACTATCTTCACTGAATACAAGTTTAACTGCTGGAACAGTTAAAGGTAGGATGCTTACGAAGGCCCAACCACCAAATATCCTAGACTAGAAGATACAGGATGACGAAACTGGAATGTTGACATTTTATTGAGTGTTTTGATTGCAACAGAGTTACAAAAATAATAAAGCAAATGAATGTTATGTTGTGTGTGTGTGTGCGTGCGTGCGTGCGTGCGCGCGTGTGTGTGAGAGAGAGTTCTGACCTTTCTCATTGGCTGTGCTGAAGTAGAGTGTTGGAGGCATGAGTGGGAACAAACTGGGCACAAGTGCTGCTCGCTCCTCTCCATTGTCATCTTCCACTACCATCGGTTCCTCAACGCTGACGGGGAGGAGCAGCAACACGTTGTTAGAACACACTAAAGCAACCTCAGACCAGAAAACACACAGCTGGTGTGTAAAACTACTGATAAAACCTCCCTGAAGTAACACAGCTCCTCCTCTGACTCACTATTTTGTGCTAATTTTACCCTTTTTGTGATCATTTAAAGCCAAATGAATAAATATTACATAACTTAGACACGTCGGCTCTGAATCATACAATTACCACAAGTACTCACATGACAGGCATAGATGGGGGACGGAAAATAAGCTCTCCTGGTTTTTGTAGATTAAAATCTTGCAACGTCAACCGCTTCAGCCAAATCCATCAGAACCCAACCCAACAGAATGTTAGCATCCAGGCAAGGGAAACATGAAGACTAGGTGTGTGTGTGTGCACTACTGAACAGATGAACAAACCTATTTGGGCAGAAGGTGTCAATGACACTCCTGATTTAGAGAATCAGAGGCCATGGAGGCTGGGGAGACAAAGCAGCAGAGCTTTCCACCAGGCTCTGCTGCTTTCAGCACCCTGCAACAATACGCTGACACAGAAAAGGGCCAGGCCAACAGGAGCCCTCAGGTGTTGGGTCAACAGTCAAAGCACTGATGCAGAAGAAGAATCTGCTGCATAAACCCAAGAGTTCAAAAGAACATTCATCACTAAAGTGTGTGAGACACCTGAGGGGAATCAACTGTGCGGTTGGGATCTTTTAACAGAGGCGTTATTTTCACCTCACAACAGATCAGACCATAATAGGGCTGCTGGTGGAGTACTGTTTGTACTGGTTAAACACAGGCTCAAAGATCTGTTGTGAGACAGAAAAGACCAGAACACAAAGATGTCTCCGGCTCAATGGGACAACTACGGTTTGGTCTTCATCAGACCCTTGGAGGAGCTGGACCTTCTGTAAAACCTAAACCCAACTAGAGAACCAGAGTGAGAACACTTTGTGGTACAACAGAACCTTCATCAGCAGCAAAAGCCTTCAGGAACCATCCTCCATCTTCTGTAGAACATCATTTAACAGTCTATGTGGTTCTGCAGGAGAACTGACCTCTGACCTGACATTTTTGTGAAGGTTTCTACTAGTGAATGTCTGTAGGACGGTGAAGGACCAGCAGGTCAATGGTGCTCTGATCCAAAACAACCTTAATCCCTGTTCCTATCTTGGCTCTGAAGTCAGAATAAACTCCCAAAAGAAAACACGAGTGGACTGTTCACTCACGCAGCTAGGAGAAACTCATGTTAAGATTTCTGTATTTACAATTTATCAGATTTAGAATAAAAAATATCAAAAGGTGTGTGTGTGTGTGTAATTTACCTAGCAGGAGGGGTGGATGCTGTGGATGAAGCATCAATAACAGAACAGTCTGAACCATCTGAAGCACATAAGACACCCTGAAGATTAGTTCCAATGTTTACACAGACATGTACATATGAGATCATTTGTGCGTGTGTGTGTGTGTGTGTGTGTGTGTGTGTGTGCACGCGCGAGCGGGACACCAATGTATAAAAAGTGTTTGGTTTTATTAGGGTAATCGGTTTTTATCCCATGTTTCATATTTATTGTGAAGAACCAACCTTATGAACTTTGACCTGATTATAAGAGGCAGTAATGCATCTACAAACTGTTCAACTGATTTAGAGCATAGATGCTAACCAATGTGAAAACAGTATTTCTGGTAAAGCTGATGCTTGCTTGAATATAAAAGACCAACAGTTGGCCTTGACAAGGTGCAAAAACTTCAACAATAGAAATCAACCAACCTCCTGTCTTATAGTGCCACAGAGGGCTTCACAGAAATCTTCATCAGTGTTTTGGTTCAGCAGTAATATATATGGCAAGCAAAGGTGGTAACAAGGTAACTCCAGGTAACTTGGAGGAATGAGATATCAAGTTCAGTTAAAGTATCAACATTTCTTATTTTATTTGAGAAAATCTGGTTTTATTTCAAATGCTTTTATTGTGAAAGAACAGGAAGTGTAGACGTGAGTGTACAAACAAACAGGCATGGCTGTCTGTGACTCTACTGGTGGTTCCTGACACCAGAACGGTGTCGGTACAGGATCTGCTCGGGTGCAAAATCGGCTCGGGGTCCTTCGACTGCCGATGACGTCAAAGTACGGCAAACCCACTCGGACAAAATACACTACACATCTATACTGTTGGAAAGAATTTAGCAGTTTCGTTATTAAAATAGTGTTTCTTAAGACGTAAGTTTGTGTTTATAATGGTATTTGTAAAATAAAACACTATATTTTATTCATAATGTTGAACTCCTCTTTGAGCACATCCCTTGAAGGATCATAGGTATTAGCAACACCTGTGAAATTGTATTTGCAGGAAAGAAGTGTGTCCCGTTTATTGAAGTATTTTGTGTTTTTGACGTCTTGTCCATGCGTAGTTCAGTTACGCTCATAGCTGCTAAACAAAACTCTGGAGTTAAAAGTTTTCTGGCTTTACTAAAATGCCTGTCTGTACTTATTTGATTGATGGTAGTTTTACTTTCTATTAGACTCCAAATGTAATCATTTGGCACGTTTCTAATTCATAATTTGTAATAATGTAATCGGCGATATTAGCATTAGCATTCCTATGGGTTTTTCCACGTATATTAGCATTGCGCTAACCACTCGCTGCCAATTTGCAGCCTTTGCGATTAGAAAATCTCCTTTTGTCACATCGCAATTTAATTGCACATGCAGTTAATCGTTCAGCCCTAATATACATGCAGCTCTATGCTAAAAGTGTATTTTCAAAGAGGTAATGATGGATTTCTTTGTAAAAGTTGTCCATCTTTCCAACAGAAAGATTTGCCTGGACTAACGTAACGTGATAACAACGTAACGTGATAACAACGTAACGTGATTACGTAATTCTGTAAGGTTCATGTTCAGCCAATCAACTACTTAGACGTCATCGGCAGTAGGCGGACCCCGAGCCGATTTTGCACCCGAGCAGATCTTGTACCGACACCGGTTCTGGTTTACCTGATCTGTGTAGGAACGTGGGTCTGAGATGTTTATCTCACCGTGGTCGCTGAACAGGTTCTCCAGCCAATCAGGAGGCTCCTCCTCCACTCCATCAACCTGCATCTTACATCCAGACCTGAAAACACACACAGAACCAGACCCTAGACTCAGAACTAGAACCCAGAAATGGATACTAGAGGAGGAACAGCTGACTGAAGAGCTTCTCACCTCCACGGCTGAGCTTCTTCAATCACTTGGTCCTCTGTAGTTGAGGGGGAGGAGGAGGGCTGTCCTCTCCTGGTGAGCTGGATAGCTGAGATCTGAGAGGTCACAGAACCTACTAAAGCTCCAGCTGGACTCGGGACCACATCTGCAGAACCTGGATCAGAGTCAGGCTGGACATATGACTACGATCTACACTAAGCTTCATGCATGTTTCACACTGAAGTGACAGAACTTCATCATGACTTTACCTTAACTTGATCAGAACCTCAGCATATCAACAGAACATCAGGACCATCAAAGATTCCAACACGCTTTCTAAGTTTTCTAGTTAAAATCTATGTTTGGGAGGATTTTGTGATGCTTAGGAGAAGGGTACGCACAGCCACTAGCCGTTTAGCTAAACTGCTGTAAGACAGAAAAATAAAGTTTTAATGTTTTTAATCAAAGCGACTCAGAAGACTCCGAAATACTGGTTAATAAACTGTAAAAATGCTGTTTAGAAATATCTCCTTTTACACCACCAGCTGGTGTTTAAGGATCCTGCTCTCGGGATGTTTAACAGATACCGACTAGCAAGACTTGACTGTTGTTTAATAGTGTTTAGAAAACAGATCAGTGACAAACTCCTGTGATCATCTGTGGTGAAAAACTGTCTCCCTGCTCCTTGATCCTCTACAGAAACTCACAAGAAGGTGATTTAATGACTTTAATGTCATGCTGGTTTGTAGTCTGCATGTCTGGACAAAAACCAGTACACATCTAGATTACACATCCCTTAAGTGTGACTCGAGGTCTGCAGGTTGTTCTTTAACTCTGTAGCTAGAGGGTCAAAGCACTAAACGATTACCTTTAACAGCATCTAGCTGAGCAGTTCTGAACACAGATGGCAGGGAATTGCTCCTTCCCAGGGGGTTCGGATTTGGGGGGTCCTGCCTGGTCTTGCGATGTGGAGCCATCCTTTGGGTCTTGCTGGTTGTGGCTCGAGAAGCTCCTTTAATGACCAGCTGGCTGTTTGAACAGCTTCTTGCTGCCTGGTTCTTCAGTATGTTCCTGCATTTTGTTGCCGTTTTGGCTGAAGTGCTCCTTCGTGCAGCGTTTGTTGGTCTCGTTGTGCTTTTTGTCTTTGGTTTCTTGCTGATGTATCTGGAGGTAGAGGAAGCTGTTGCCTGAGTTTTACCGACACTAAGGCACGGGAGAGGCACGGACGGTGAGGAGAGACGGTCTGCAGCCTCTTGCTGAAAAGAGCAGAAGACTTCATGTCAGCTTCACGCAGGAATCAGGGGGCTTCTGGATTAACCTGACCCAAACCCTCAGATTCAACGTGAACTCACCATTATCGGACTGCTGCGCTGCTCTGGGACCTGAAGCCCTGATGCTGTGTCACCAGGAGGACTCCTCCTCTTGGAAGGACTGAGCCCAAGCTGAGAAGATGGGTTCTGAACGGACTCCTGAGCCCCCCCTGTCAGCTGGAACTCCTTGCAGACAGAGGAAGGCCAGGAGAGTCCTGAGGGTTCCAGTACCTGATTTGAACTTTGAATCATGTTACTTTGTTTGAGCTGAATCAGAAATCCATCAGTACCAGAACTTTGAGTGCAGGTGTTTGATCTATTTATGTCTACCTTCTCCCAGGTAACAGAACCAGAACGCACTGATATCTGAATCGAGGGAGGGGCAGAAAAAATGAGAGAGCCCACTGGTTCGGTTTGGGTTTTAGAGCTGGGTGGTTTAAGGGGTTTGTGATGGGAAGCAGTTTCCGTGGCTGCACCTGGAACAGGGGCAGAGGTGGGGGGGACGTTGGCACCAGGACAAACCCGGTGTATCCCTCCGGTCCAGGGGGAGGACTGGTTGGTCGGCATGACACGGCAGTTCTGAGTGGTGTCACAAAACAATCACAGTAGCTTCTTCAATAACGTCAGCACCAACTGGATGGATCCTGAACATCTGAACTCATCACTGGTGCCAGTGTGATCAGACTAGCAGAACTCCCTCTGGTGCTGGTCCCAGATAGCGTCAGGACTGTAGGACCGCACACATGGAGAGGCTGGGGGGGTTATGAGCTGCCATGCGCTGCTTCACAGAAGTCAACGAGTGAGTTTGATTCAGACCTGAAACAATTCCACAAGAAAAGGACAGTTAGGATGACACAATACTGTCTGATCAGATACTCGGTCACAAAACAGTTAGAAAACACGACACACACTTCAGATACAAAACAAAACCACCAACAACAACAAACAGGCAACTGGCCGCCAACGAGGGATGCACCGATGGATTGGCATTTGATCCCAATCGGCCGATAGCGCCCCTATCGGTTTTGATCGGAGTTTTCAAAATAGATCAAAGCAGACCATCAGGTGGGTTGTCACGGTAACCGGTGTAGCTGTAAACCCCGGTAAAAAAAAAAAATAGTTGACAATAATAATAACCGTCTTGTTTTTAAAAAAACTATATTATCTCGGTGGATTACCGTGGCTGCGGTGTAGGCGCGGTGACCCTTACCAGCCACCGTATCATCTGCTGAAGTTGCCGGCAGCACATGCGCACTTTGTTGTTTACAACCAAAACTTTCTTGAAGCTAAAGCTGAAATAATGGCCAAAGGAGGAGACGGCAGCGCTCAGGACATTTATTATCCCTCAAAGAAGACAAAGTGGGAAGTACAGGCATTTTTTTGATATTTGAAGAATGCCGAGGGACAGTTGATAGAAGACGGCTATCCTGTTTGCAGCACGTGCAGAAAAAGTGTCTGTGAAAGGCAGCAACGCTTCAAATCTCATGACACATCTGAATGACCATCACCCACAACTCTACAGTCAACGCAAGGCAAGCTAACGTTAGCGTTTTAGCTAAAATGTGTGATCCGAGGATTTGGGTTGAGGGAGAATGCAACGAGTCGCTATATAAAGCAGCCGCAGCGCCGCTACCTGCATATAAACCGTGTCGCGGACACCGCCATGTTGAAATGACGCTATGCATTACGGGGCTCCCAGGGGCAGATAAGAGTTGGTCTCTCTCCGAGAATAATTATGAATTTAACAACGATTACTGCCTGATGACATTTTCCCACATCTGCAAAGCTCACTGGAAGGACACAAACCGAGGACAATATTTTCCTGATATAGGATTTATTACTCAAGTAAGGGTAAAAAGTATCTGATTAGAAGGCTACTTGAGTACTGAGTATCATCTGAACTAATATTTTTAAAATGGTGACATCAAACAGACATAAAATAAGAAGTTATGGGCAAATATTGGTATTTTAAAGACTAAAGGGAAAAAATGTAAACAAATAAACAACATAATTACAAAATAACACATTTTAGGCAAAATTTAGACACAAACTGAGGACAATATTTCCTGACATACAGGGTTTATTTGTGTGAAAATGTAGCAAGTTAAAAAAAAAACTGCGATAATACCGAAAACCGTGATAATTTTGGTCACAATAACCGTGAAGTTAAATTTTCACACCATGACAACCCTAATACAGACCATTTTAGATTAGGTTACATTTCCTTTATTCCCAGATTATGTAGTTTGTAGCACTCATTATAATGTTGTAGAAAATTTCTGGCCAATCCACGTGATCGGTATCGGTGATCAGCATTCTTTGATATCGGTATCGGTGATCAGCAGCAAAAAACCTGATCGGTGCATCCCTACCGCCAACAACCAGAAAACCCCACCCAGCAGATAACAGAAACCAGACACCAACAACCAAAACCCAGCAACAGCATCCACTGGTTACGACAAATAAAACAAACAGCGACACTAAACTTTTCATACAAAAAGCAGATCGGTCGCAATGAGATGTATCTGTTACCTAAATCATTTTCTATTTTTCAGGCACAATTGAATACTCCACTATGTGTGTACTTTTTAGCAAAAGCAGAGGTCTCCAAAACCACTGGAGTGATCATCCAGGATGGGGCACTTCTGTAAACTAAACTGTATGATGATAAAATAAGCAGTGTCCTATTTAGTAGAGGGACACGGATCGTAGCGGGGACTCTGCCAGAATATGGGCCATGTCTGGTTTTATTACAGAGAACAGGTCTCCAAAAACCAGCTGATTGTGATCTGAAGGACAAACAACTCAAAACAAATGATGGTGGAAGACTCTCCATCCTAAACTGAGGGGAATATGCGTCAGTTTTACTCAAAGTTGATGTTAAAAGGTTAAAGTTTGATGGAGAGGACATGATAAAGCACAGATTGTGTATTTGGTATGAAGATTTAGGGAGTTTCTAAAAGCACATCAACAGTCATGTTTCCTCAGACTCCCTCCCCACTTATAAATCCAGAATCAAAACCCACCTGGTTAAGACTGTTTATGACTTCAGCTTTTACTGCCCTCATCTGGTTTAGTACTTTTTAAATGGTAATGAAGACTCTATGGTTTCTGTTGTTTTCTTCTTATTGTTGTTATTGCTGCTAAGTAGCCCTGTGCTCCTTGAAATGTGCTTATAAATAAAATGCATTAATAATAATAATACTTTATTATTGTTATGCTGAATTTTGTTTCATAAATGTGGTTCTCAAGTGTAAAGCAGAGAGCTTTTTATAGTATGTATTGAACTTGTGACTAACACTTAACAGGGACACGTTTTATTTTACGTTTTTGGACAAACTTGATTTTTTTTCCCATGACCATGGTCTAGGCTTCACCTGTTTACATCTTCCTCTCAAACGTCCTCGGTTTGTCAGAAGACAGATACGTCATGCCAACATAAAAGAGCTTGTTTTGTCGTGAGCCTTAAGCTAAGTGACAAATCAATCACACCTAATCAATAAAAACTATTTACATTTCTCTTGGATCGGTGTTCCCCGCTTAGAGCGCGCTCCCGGAAGGGGGGGGGGGGGGGGGGGGGAAACAAAGTCTGACAAAGATCCCTACCTAGGCGCAACACCTGTGTGAACACCGGTAAAGCAGAACACACACGTGCCTGCTTCAACAATGATTCATTTAAAACAAGTAAAATGATCCAGGACCAACAAGAACGTAGTGTGTAACAAACTTGTCTGTCTATCGCTACAACCAGCTTTCCCTTATCACCGCTAACCGGTGTCCTCGTTCACATAGCGCTAGCTTAGCAACACGCTGGTAACGGCTAATCCACAGACCAGTCTGTACACAAGAGGTCTCGAATCAGCACTTCAAATAAGCTGAATGTTCATACAAACGTTCCTCCGTGTGGTGTTCCCAACTTCCCGTTCCGTTAATCGAACCAAACAGCAGCTACTCGGTGGACTTTCCCCACTTTAGATCTCTGGATGAAATGAGCGAGTGAAGCATCACGGTCGCAGATCGTTTATTTTTCCACGAGGTCCAAAGTAGAGAAACGCGGCACGCGTCACTAGATGAGATACAGCGCCCTCCAGTGGAGGAGAAACATAAAGGCCCAGCCCTGCGGGCACAAAGGGCTCTCAACCCCCCTTCCTTGTCACTCCACAACATGCCTTAAAGCATCAGATACTAAATGGAAAGTAAACGCCATGTAAAAATGTTTTTCTTCTACATAATAAATAATTAAATGTCAATAATGTGAATGCTACTACTACTAATTGTAATAGTAATAGATTGAGATTGCTGTTTATTGTAGAAATAATGTTCTTGGGACTAATACTGGACCTTAAAATCAGCTGGGAATCCAAAATAAAGTTAGATAAATACTGGAAAAGACGATTGCAGTATTTGGTAAAACATATTATGTCCACTTGCGGTCCAAGTCCATTTTTCCTTGGTTCCCCAAATTCCTTGAAACGGCCCTGAGTGTTGGACTGAGCTTTGGAGGTAATCTGAATTGTTTCAAATATGTAAATAGATTGTTAAACAGTTAAACATGTGTTAAACATGTGTAGTGGACTTTTAACTTTTCAAGCACTTTGTTTTCTTTTTTTTCATTTGACTACTTTCCTGTCTTTCTCTCATCTTCCTGCATCTCCTCTCAACCCTCTAGAAAAAACAGCTTCCAGGCTGTCGGACTTTCTCACCTCATGAGCTACTTTTAAACTAAGCAGCTCAACATGATCTTAGCAAAGTGCCTCAGCCACGGCAGAGGTGAAATCACCGGAGTACAGGTTACGAGCTCCGCTGAGGTGGTGCGCGTCAGACACAAATAAAAGACAAAAAGTAGAAAATATGAGCAGAAATGAATAACTGCGTGTCAGTCATTTTCTTTTTTGGCGCCACTTTGAGAATGTTACCCTGGCTGGAGCACAGGTCAGCAAGAAGCATCTGGAGGTCATGAATAATCAGCGCGCTCCATACTTGAGTATATGCTGAAGCGAGTGCGAGAGAGGCGCATATACTTGGGAAAAAAATCTAAAATTAAGTATTTTAAATGATCATCTCAGTGGTGTGTGCCGTGGCCCGATGGCTGATTCAGTTATGTTTTTCTGTTAGACCTCTTTAAGTCCCCTTCCTTGGGCTGTTCACATGGGCCCTCAGTGGGCATGGGCCCCTGGGCCCGTACCATTAATGCCCATTAGATGATCTGGCCTTGATCTTGGCTCAGCACAGGTTGCTAGGAGATCAGAGGTGGGCTCTGGGCTAACCAGGACGTAGCTCATGTCATTCATTTCTTTTCAGGTCTGTAAGCCAGATTGATGAAGTCCGTCTCTCTCGGGCCACTACTACCCTCAGGAGTGAGAGCTTTGTGAGATTCTTTATAAACAAACTTGGAAGAATGTTTTTTCTCATGCCACCTTTTATTCTAAGTTTGGGGCCAACATAACCTTTTACTGAGAAATAGTGGAGTTTTGGTGGTTTTTGTTTAATTTTACGCAGAACCTCACATGGTCTAATTCACTGGGATTATGGTACTAGCACACTGATGCATTAGCTCTACATCTGTAAACCTGAGTCATGTTTGTGTTTACTGACGCCATGTTGAATCAGGTTGACTAGTTAATCAGCTGTAGGTGTAGAGTTTACACTAAAATCTGACACCTTAAACACACAAATGCAAAAACATGTGACTGCCTCTCACCAGCAGCTGAGAACCAAGGTGCTTCATGAATAATGTGATCAGAGTCAATAACAGTTTAATATTTATTAAGACACTGATGCGAATGGATCGGTTATGACTGGAAATATAGAAGAAATATTTGTGAAAATGAATACTAATGCAAATAAATCAAATCTTAAAACTTTGTATTTCTCGTGGTCATTTTAATTCTATCTGAACACACACAAGTCTTATTGTTTGATTACTGGGCGTCAGTGCTACAAGGAGAAAGATAAAATGTGAGACAATGCTCAGATTATGTGAGTTTTAGGGCCTTTTGTAGTTTGAAAGTAAGCAGAGTTTGATGAAAGGGAAAATTCAGAAAACAATATATCATAAAGTGTAAGATAAATGTCAAATTAATACAAAACTTGGATATTCTCTGATGTTGGAAAATTATGAAACTGAGAAGGAAAAAGTCCAAAATTTGGTAATTAAATCCTTAAATTTACCAAAAAATAAATAAAAATACCTTGGATATTCTGATATTTTTAAATCACATATTAAATTTTAATAAAGGATTCAAACTTGAAGCAGAGGGCAGAAAAGTGTTTGCTTGAGATTGTTTAATCACAAGTTTGTGAGAAACCATTTTAATACTGACCAGAAAATAAATTCATGAAAAACACAATTTGTAAAAACAGGAAGGGGGACTGTGTTGCATTCAATGACCCTTCAGGGGGGTGTTGTCTCTTCTCACAAATATATTAATCCACAATATCAGAAGTCTGAATTTTACCCAAAACGTAGACTTTTTTCTTCTGACATCAGAGGATACCCGAGTTTGTTCAAAGCATACGATACTCTCTCCCTTTACCCTGGCTCTGTCTAGAACTGCCTTAATACCCTTCCCATCAGGTTAAAGTTGGTGTTTTGTAATTCAAAAGGGAATTTTGGAGACAATTGCATTCAGTTTTTTCTGTTCACATCATCCTGAGGGTCTTCTACAAACCTCCTGTTCACAGACAATGATTCATACAGCAGCATCAGAGATGGCTCAGAGGTTACGGCTAGAAAACCTAAAGCTTAAATTCACTGAGCTCATTGCGTTCCTGGAGTCTGTAGACAAACCAAAAAGGCACGTGACATTTAAAGCAGACATCCTACAAAGACCACATAATGTGGATTTACAGTAATTCATATGAAATAAAGTACCAAACTACTTGTCTTCATTAATAACTTCAGTTAGAAAACATCACAAACCTTTCACCATCTGAAACCAAAGTCCTTACCTTTCTTCACTGGAAATGTTTAAGGCAGCTTTTACTCAAACATCTCAGCAGCTGTGTGGAAATAAAAGTAACCGTTTTTCCTTAAGTGAACATTAAAGAGAATTGCGTCCATGTTAAAATGTATTTCTGTGTAAAAGCTCCCAATAGTTCCCATTAGCTTCCTGCTCAGAGAAGGTGTTAACATCCTCCAGGACCTAATCAACAAAGGCCCAATCCCAACACTCACACTGCGCCCTATGGTCTTCTGTGAAGTGCACTTGGAGGAAATGTGCAGTAAGGCTTCGAGTGCGTGGTGCACAAGTGTGCAAATAATTGCCAAATTGGGACAGGGAGCATTACGTTATCGACCGCAACACATGCCGGGATGCTGGTTGATGTGCTACTTCTTAAAAAAGATCGTTATTAACAACTTTCAAACAAACAACCAATTATTTGTAATAAATTTACATTAACTGTTGCTTTGTCTAATGAACTACTTTCATTTGAAAATACTTACTTTCAGAAAAGGAACTTGAGCCTTTCCCCCCGCAGCAATGAATTGTGGGTAATACCCTACACTTAAGTCTGCATCGATGTGGACTTGGGTGAAGTGCAGATCAAGGGTGCAAAAGGGGCATGATCGACTTCCGCACTTGAGAATTGGGACTCCCTATGCACTGACACCCCTGGGATCGCGCAATTGAAGGGTGCAAGTGTGGAAGTGCAAGTATTGGGATTGGGCCTATAAGAGCTAGCTCAAGCGAACACGTAAAGGTGCATCATGTTAGAAAGAAGCAAGACTGACATCCTGTGATAACATTTGGTTGCTACAGCCCATTTTCCTAACCTTTATCACTACTGCTCCATGAGTTTAATGGCTGTAACCAGCTACGGGTCAGTGCCAGAAGATTCTAGATGACAAAAGAAAACTCATACACAGTAAGCTGATAAATACATTTGACTGACAAGCTGTTGCTAAGTGAAGTAGATTGAGATTTTTTTAAACCCCCCATTTTAATTCTAATTCACCGTTAGCATTGTTAGCTCAACGTTAGCCTCTAGCCTTCTTCACCTAATAGAGAAAAACAAAAATATGCCGTGGCTTCTTTGGGGTATAAGAAATAACTTCTGGGTTGCTCCTGTTTACTGGCTTAGGATCTTCACAAAACACTGCGTTTCCCAGCTGGTGTTGAATTATGGACGCTGGTGCTGCAGCGTTAGACCAGCACAGATTCAGTAACCCTGCAGACTCAGACTGTAAAACACAGACTACTAAACACTGACACCCCCCCCCCCCCCCCAGCTGGCAGAGAAGGAAACTTTCCTTCTAACATGATTAAGAATGTTTTATTATTATTTTACATAAACATTCTTATTCATTGTAGCTTTAAGCAGTGCTCACGGCTAGTAATGACTAGTAGGTTTGCAGCAAAAACCAAAGTGTGATGCACACATCTAAACAGCTTAACTCTCCTACATTTCCCAGAAGTCCACATGACATTATGGTATAAAACTTTACACCATGGCCAGTGTTGCTGACAAATGTTTGAATGTGTGTTAGAGTAAAATAAATAAGAAAATTAATCAAACATTAAAAGAAAACGCTCATATTCGGTTTGAAAAAGAGCAGGAAGAAGCTAAAGCACATTGAATCCTACCCCAGTTGACTCATCCAGTACACACACACCATGCACTTACACAGAACTCTGCGGTTGCTCACAAGGACTCCAGTTATTTTCACAGAATTGTAATGTTGTTTGCTTGGAAAACGATGGAAGTTTACATTATCCAACAACATAAATATCAGGAAGAGCAGCTAAATGCAGCCCTTCATCCAGAAGTGGAGTACAGCTGGCAGATCTGCATATTTCTGCAGAAAAAACAACAACCTTGGAACGTGAAACTGGCAGCAGCAAAGGGGAAGTGAATCGATGGTAAATTTAGTAAATTAAATCTGAATCAGACAATTCTTTAGCTTAGATTAGCCACTGATTCTGGATAGCTGTTAGCTCTTGATGTAAACCCCATTTCTCTGAACAGAGGCCTTGCTAGGGGTTCACATAGGAGCTATTTTACTTTTACTCATAAACACAATTCAACATGGCCGACTTTTCCCTGAAACAGAGATGGCACCTATCTACCGTACTAAAGAATACAAGCTACCCGTACTCCTGCTCACACAGTGCCAAACCAAAGAGGAAAACTGCAGTAAGTTTGTACTTTATTTACTTTAACACATATACGTCCATTACAAAAAAATGGCTGTTATTTTGGTAACTGATGAATTCCGCCCCACCCCCACACCACTGGCCGTGTTTGTCCGGTGACGCTCTTATCCAGCTGAGGTGGCTCATCAGTGATCATCCAATCACTGGAGGCCTTTGTTTTCCGAATGTTCATGTAAAAGTTTAGAAGAGGACTTGAGCGCAGAGGAAGAAACAGAAAAGGTGGTGGGGAAGCGAAGACGCCGCCCGTCTAAGATCTGAAGACCTGGTTTTCAACTACCCATTCTCCTTCCACAAAACTAAATGAATACTATGGTCAGGCATGCTGGTAGCAAACACCAGTCCAGAGTCATTGCCTCCATCCAGCCCATTCAGCCAGGAGGTGACGCCTGCCAGGAAGCTGGATCCCCGTTTGGACTTCCTGTAGGCTGGCAGAGGCCAGCGGCCTGAAATTGCTTCTGTCCTCAGGTCCATCACATACAGGAAGTGGTTATCAAAAAGGAGGGCAAACACCTCACCGAAGCTTAGCAGAGACAGGTTGGCAGGATCTTGCATTTTTATCACTCTGAGAACAGAAGGAGAGACGAGGTTTTAGAGCGCCAACAGAAATACATCGATTGTGTTCTCCAGGACTTTGCTACAGGTAGAGTTGGGTCACTTTAAAGGACTGGTCCCTGATCTGGTCCCATCAAAACATGCAGTAATGCAGCCATCTCAGTCTGGTTCTTGTTTTACCTCCCACCTCTCTGGTGAGCCTGTCAGCTAGAGATCTTTCTGGTGTGCGGATTCTCCAGAGCACCTGAAAGGGCTGAGTGGTTGGAGAGCTCGTCGATTTAAATGAGAATCACTTAAACAGTTTGTCCACCTTCTTTATCTCTTCATTTAAACATTGTGTCCAAACAAAATGTTCATTTCTATCAGTTTTAATACTCCCTGTGTCTGCACTGCCTTACCTGATAATTTCAAAGCTGGCAAAGTCCCACTGATAGACTCCGAGGTCAGAGCTGCAGACGATGTAGCGACCATCAAACTGCAGGCGCGGCTGAAGGCTGATGCTGCGGTCCTCTGACACCGACAGCGTTTTCAAACACTTACAGTTGATTTCCCTTCCTAAAGGCCAAACCTGCAGAGCGAACGCAGGGTTGGTTCCATCCTACAGACTCTTCAGGTTCGTCAGCTTCTATTTGACAACTTCAGAGTGTAAAAAGCAACTAACAAACACCCTGAAGAAAAGAGATCTTTACCTTGATTTCATACTTATCAGCACTTAGCAGGATGTAGTCACCAGGACTGTGCACCACTGATTCTACCTCACTCTTTTGTAATATCACCTGATGAGAGAGAACACGAGCTGTAGCGACGCCAAAAGCATTAAAGAGACACGCAAGTGTGTTGATTCAGGAAGCTGAGCTGACCTTGGTGACCCACTCGGTGTGTCCAGTGAGGGTGTTGAGGCAGGCGCCAGCAGACAAGGACCAGACCTTGACGGAGAAGTCTGCAGAGCCACTGACCAGAACGTCCAGCTCGTCGTTGTAGTCCACACTGAAGACTGAACACACACACTTTTTATGTCATTAATGACCTGGTAATAAGGGTAAAAGTCCCAAAATGAGGGAACACATGTGCACTGAAGCGTCACTGTGATCCCTAGAACTACTCAGTTCACCACTATAGTGCACCTGAGTGATGATTCAGTCTTCTCACCACCATTCAGTGAGTTTTTATTAACATCATCTTGAGTTGAGAAATGCTGACAGTAGCTACGTTTACATGCACCAAATTCCCCTACCCGATTCAAATCTTGGTTGACTGGAAATACCAAATCTGTTTACGTGGACACTAACTGAACTGATCCGACCATGCCGTGAGTTTACATACACCAAGCATTCAGTCAGATTAAATAGGTTGAGCATGCGCAGAGTTGTCTTTCCCGGGAAAAAATAGTAAACAAACGTCATCTCCGCACGTCTTTCCCCTCGCATTTTATTTTCTAGCTTTGTCGGCTGACTGTTTTTTTTTTCTCCCGTTATGGACCGTCTTCGCATTTTTACCTGTATGCTTTTGTTTGACTGATCGCTTTAACTAAGCTGCAGGCTCAGCGGTTCGTAACGCTACGGCTCCTCCGCCACAGGAGAGGAGAGCAGGACAGTTTCTGTTTACCTCCCACCATGTTTTCCACTTGTCCTGAGCGGATGCAAACACATCACGGCGAAGTTGTACACTTGCACAGAGGGAATTATTTTACTCCAGGAAACTAAATAAGTGGGTACATGGACGTCAGTCAGATTGATGATCGGACAAAACCACCTCTCTGGGCCATATTGGATCAGAATATTCTGACTGACAAGTTTACATGAAGAAATTTAGATCTGACAGGGCGTTCATTCCAATTCCTTGTGCCCGTGTAAACGTAGCTACTGTTATCTGCTATCACCCAAATGTGATGTGAATGACTGAGTCAGAGCGGTTTTAGTGTCGGTTAATAATAACTAGCGGTGGCTGACATCTTGGATCTGGTTGGCTCTAACAGTTAACCAGCTGTAGATGTTCAACCAATGATAATGCAGACAATAACGGTGTTTCCACTGACCTGCGCCGGTGTGCCCACGGAACTGCTGGATCTTAGCACCTGTACTCCACTCCCAGCATGCAACAGTATTGTCAAACGACCCCGTCACAAGCTTCTGTTCATCAAACTTCACTGTGGCGCATGTGTGTGTCTGAATTCCATAAATGCACTGTCCAGTGCGTACATCCCATAATTTGGCAGAAAGGTCATCAGAGCCTGAAAGAGAAGGAGAAACACAGTGAGATGTTCTAGAGAGAAGAACCTGCGTGCTGCAAAACGTTTACAGGTTAAACACCTGTGCAGAGCAGGCCGTCCTTATAGTAGAGGGCATACACTCGGGCGCTATGGCCGATGAGTGATGATGTCACAAAAGCCTCCTGGTCCTTCAGCTGCATCATGCGCAGTTTAGCCTTCAGGTAGACCCCCTTCCAGTGTGCTGCATCCTGGATGGACTCGTCGGTTTTCCAACCCAGCTCCCGGCACACACCCTGCCACACCTCTGTACACGAGTTTATCACCTAGAGAACACACACGCACGCGCACGCAAACGCACACACAGCTTAGTAAAAATCAAACATTCTACCTCTGATGTGCTAGGGTAGCTACTGTAACCATCACTGACTCATTAAGTCACCATGGTAACCACCATGGCTAATCAGTCCCCATGGTAGAAATATAGATATATGATGAGGTAAAGACAGAACAGAAAAAAGAGAAAGTGCTGATTTATTGTGAAGTCTCCATATTCCATAGTACTCCCCAACTCCGGTCCTATGGTTTTTATACTGTGTGTCTCTGTTGCGCATGTGCAATGGAAATGAAGGGTATTACAATTTCATTAATGACCAGAGATATTAATGATCCATACCTGGGGCATGGGTCCCATCTCTGGACACTGGGCTTTCTTAAATCAGAAGAGTTCTTTTTATTACAGGGAAATTTAAATTAAACACTTTGCATGAACTGAGAGACAAGAGAAGAGAGAGAGACCTCGGAACGTTTAAGAAAAATTTATTATCTAAATTATTTTAAACAATTAACAGGACTAACTCTCTAGTGATGGATGTGAATGGAATGGAATGAGGTGGAGTGTGTGTTGGTGCGATGTCAGTTCAGAACCTCCGTCTGGAGAAGCGAGTCTGAGTGGGAGATGATGTTTTGCTCCTAACTGATCGACGTTTGAACTTTAGTCAGGAAAGACATGAGACGCTATCTGGTGCCGTTCTACATTACCCGTCAGGGACTCCCGTGTTAGATCAGGCTGCCAGGTCCTCGGACCCTCCTCTGGTGCTGGAGCCGATGAAACAGCGTCGACAAACCAGTCTATGGATAGTCTCCAGGTAAAAACGTCAGGTGTTTCACAGAATCAAAGGGAGCCCCCTTTGGGTCAGCGAGTTCCGCTTTTATTCTGAAGGAACCGTTGTTTTGTTGGTAACAACGACAGGATTTTCCAGCTTGACAGTTCTCAGCTTAAAAGTAAAACGTACAGATGGCCGGTCCGTACTTCACTTAGCGATGATGGACATCAGATGATCGAGAGCTGGCTGAATACTGAACTCAAAATGGCGTTGTTCTGTTTTATTAATCTTGGTTGTTTACGATTCTGGACGAATCGCAGCGGACAGATTAAATAAACACCACAGAGACTCTGCCACGCTTCAGAATGAAGGTTCTGATTGGATGAGTAAACAATGTGTCATGTGTTGACATTACGTGGATCAGGACGTCGAGTGCAGTTAGACCAAAGTCATATTGCTCATTAAACATATTAATCATAACATTGTGATTTCACAGATCGGTCACATGGCTATTATTGACTAACAGTTGTTTTGATTAGCTTTATTAAAATAGTTATTGGATTAATTAAAAGGAAAGCGTTCTTCTTCTTTCTTCTGTCTTCTTGCTGGAATGTAAACATTAGAAGTGAATGCATGACCTTGGCTGTTCATGCATACTGACGCTGTGTCACAAGGACAGCTGTTAGAGGGGAGAAACGGTTCCTTCATCACGTTACACATGGTTGATGTATAATTGGAATTCTTTTTCAATCCTGCTGGTCATAATAGACAAAAATCATGGTAGAACAGCAAACTTGTTGCTAGTGAAGATGCTTTGGTGCCTAGTGTAACATTATTTGATCCCTTTCTTTGTAAGGAGCCCTGGGTTTGTTACTTTTGCTGTCCAATCAAATATAATAAAACTAAATGAGCAGAGTTTTACTAGTTGATATGGGAGGGCGTGGGATTACCTTGTTCCATTGTTTGCAGACCAGGCAGCAGGTGAGCAGGGTTTGAGGATCCAGCCACCGTAGCAGGTAGAAGGCCAGCTCCAGAGGAAGCAGTCGCAGGAAATCCCGTTTCAGCAGCGTCTCCAGCCCATTAGACAGATGACGGAGCTGGGCAGCACCACTTAAAGATATGAGGTGGTCCAGAGACTGGTTGCGTTGCTGATCATTAAGAGAAAGGAAGGTGGCAGAGACCGACTCCAGCCACCTCTCAAAGGCCGTATTGTCCATGGGCACATGACCTGCGATACCTGTCACATTAACACACCATCACTAAGACAGCCCAGAGTACATACAGAACTCTAAGCATGACCCACACATAACCCTTAAATTGACCTAAGCATAAACCGTCTTTATCCAACACTAAACCTCACCTAACCTGACTCTGAACTAGGTATGGCACTAGGACTAGGAGATGGTGAGGGAATGAGAATCAACACGTGTCAGAGACAATGAGAACAGAGCTTTCATTCCTGAACCAGTACTTTGTTGTTAATCTAGCAGAGATATTCTATAAAATTCATTCGTCTGCAGCACAAAAGTGATTAAAATCTGTTCAGAAATGTTTTTTGGCCCAGAGGTTCAGTCTTAGCTTCCTTTTAGGATAGACTTAAAACAGAGAAATGGTTTGGATGCATGGTGTCGCAACTTACAAGATGGGAAAAGGCTACAAACAAGTACAGTGGGATGTGTGTGTAAAGTGTAAAAGAATTATAATCACGACTCCAACATAAAAAATTTTGATATGAAAATTTAAATAACCCAAATACCCAAAACAGACACACACACACACACACACAAAGAAGGGTGTCTTTGAGGGTGATGAAAGACACTTAACTCTAGATCACCATGGAAACCGAGACTAGATCACAACGGTAACAGAAACTGAACTTAAAGTAACCACGGTAACAGACTGTTTTCCAGAAACTCTCCAAGTAGAGCTATCATATCCAGACTATCTTCTCGTTGATCCTGGAACATTTTAAATAAACTTCAGATTGTCGGACAAAATCCAAACTCTGCCTCCATCATCAGAGCCAACCAGCACAGAGATGCTGATTAGAGTTTTTATCTCGCTACTGTATAAGGTCTATTCAGGGATGGTTTTGCATGTGTTTTGTTTGTTTGTTTAACCAAAAGTTTAAAAAATAATTCTGTTTAATCACAACTCTCTTTATGAACTCACATGATTATCACTATAAACAATCTGTAAGGAAACGCAAATCCCTAGATTACAGCTGGAATATAATGAAAACACACACATTATTTAAACTATAAAAACTCTAAATAAAACTGGAGACCTTTGTTAATTATTTAGACCTGATTTTCTGACTAGTAAACAGTTAATGTCAGATTTAAGGCATTTGGGCCTCTGAACATTTGAGGATATCTCATCAGTGACAATATTCTGATTCTGCAGATGGTTCTGACCCAAACCAAACAGCAATGACACATTCAGCTTTGGTTCCAAATGGTAATGCTGGTTTTCCAGTCAGAATTATGTTTCGTTCACTCTACAATAACAATTCCTGCTGGTCTCTACAGAATCAAGTTTCAGGGTGAGTGAAGGTCTTTTTTTCCTGTAATTTTATTTGTTCCGTCAGTGAATTTTGAGCAGAAAAAGCAGGAAAGGCTGCATGGAATAGGACTTCTTGTGTGATCACAGTCTGATTCTAAAGCTGAAAGATTGTTTTAACAACGTTTATTCAGAGCCACCTTTGTAGAACCTGTAATCTCTTCGTGGAGGTTTTGGTTGTGCCAAGCCAGTGTTGCACTGGCTGCACTGGGGCTCATTAGATCTCCCCTAACCTCCATCTGCCTACTGTACAGATGCTTATATCCAGATGTCTGCTGCTTTGGATCAGAATCAATCAGAATATTTTACACACCTCAGTAACAACCGGGTTATAAACTTTACTTCCAGAAATTCGTTTTTTGATTTGATTTTTATCTAGCTAGACTTTATTTTATTTTTAACTTTCCACTCTGGATTTCACAATAACAAAAGACAAACACGAATGGTAGACGTCCCTGCACACCGAGGGCTCGGTTCTGGTCCAAGCAGTTTCAGATCATTAAAGACTCGTCTAGAACTGTCCCTGGTTGAGGTCCAGATCAGAAACTGGAGTGATGCTGGTCCTTTGAATGTGCTGATTTATAGAGTCATGCTTCGTTAATGTGATCAGAACTCCTGGCTGGAACCAGTACCATCTAAGTATATCTGTGACCAGTAACACCAAAACACCAGACCGTGTGTCCACTAGCTGATCTAAGAATAGATAAAGAGAACCTCACCGACCTGTTAATGACAGCAGGTCTCTTTCAGCCCTTCCTGGTTCAGTCTGGACACATAGCAGCGGAGTTAGCTTTAAGCTAACCTGGTCCGATCCCCCAGTTAGCCTCTGTTAGCTAAGCGCCGCAGTAAAGTGGGTCGATCAACATCTAAATTACATGATGTAAATCAACAAATGTGGCGGGCATTTCTCCACGTTAACATGTTATGGGCAGAATAATTATTTCACCTTCTGACAGCATAAAAACCACACCATAATGGAAACGGGTCTGTCCAAGGGGAATATTTAACCCTCCGTCTTGTCTTAAAGGATCAGTCACAGGGGAAAATGGAAAACAGTGCATAATCATGTATGCTCCGTTATTTTATGTGTAAATATGTATTTATTTAATAATTTTATTGGTCTACGTTTCATACCGATTCTATCAATGCTCAGTAACACCACTGGCTGTAGCTTTCTCATTGATCGAGTTGCCTGTAGGACAAAAAACAGGGGTTATTTTCACTTTAGATCCTAGCTGATTTCCGGTGTCTCGCAAATATGGAACGGGATGAAACAAGTGTGAAATAAACGTCCAGGGCTAGTTTCCTTTTGTTTTGAGAGATTAATGGCTCAATTCCTCGACATGTTTGTTTCAAAGTAACTGGAGCTAAAATCTAAACTTTGATCGGAAGTCATTCCAGGGGCACTGGGGGCTGAGCTGAGCCCCACAATTCTTACATTTTAATTTGACTGCTGTTGAGTTTTAAGTCATTTTAGGAATAGACTAAAAATGATGCACCAGTTATTTACCCAGTCTTTTCTAAAAAGGTGTAAAAATTAGGACAATAAAATTTACTTTTTGTCATTTAATTCGAACAAAAGCCCGGAGGCTAAAAATGTTGCAAGCAGTAACAACTTGAATCAGCTCACAGCTGAGTTTTTATTTAATTTAAATTCTTCCTGGTGAACAAAGGCACACTGCTTGGATTGCAGCAGTACAGCTCTCTTTCCAAGAGGTTTGGTTGTAAAAACACTAATAGGCTCCTGGAAAAGACTGTGAATTTGGGCCAAAGTTCTCTCTATTATTAGATGATTTCATGTATTTATATGAACTTTATTTAATGAGTTCATACCAGAAGAACAAATTAATGTAAAAAATATTTAGATGGAAGGTTGAGGCAGAAGTTAAATAACTTACTGAAAACAAGGAACACCTGTTTAAACTGAAATCTACTGCATCAAATATGAGGACAATAAAACAGGTTAAGTCTGGCTGGACTGCAGCAAACGTCCAATCAAATAATAATTGTCATCGTTTCTACACAAACACATTGAACTATTACGCTGACAGGAAATGATAAATGATCAAATCTATTAATTGTAAAACTATAAAATTCTAAAAAAAAAAAAATAGACAACGATTTGGAGAATTTGTTTTGTTTTTTTAGAGTCTTTCCATTTTACAATTTCCACAGCACTTTGTTCAAACACTAATTTAATTTATTTTTATTGTTCTTACTGAAATGAAAACTCAAAAGACAAACTATTCGGAATCAGAAACTTTTATTGAAAGTCAGAAATGTACTGACCTCCAACAGAAGATCATTGGAATCAACAGAAAATCAGAATGAGTGGGTTCAGAGTTAGATTTGTGGTTTGTGCTAAATCTCAATGACACAACAAAAAACAAAAACAACAACAAAATGCCAGAGTACACAGCCCGTGCACTCTGCAGACATTTAACAAGCACAAAGACAGATCTTTGGTCAGAACTCGCTTTGGTCTGAGGAGGGCCCTCTGAAACATTCTGTCTCTATTGTTCCTCGACAAGAAAGAAAACAAACACAAACAGGACGAGTTCATTAGTTTTACATTTAAATAAGTAAAATATAAAACTATTCTGGAGTGCTGATATAAAAACATCTTTAGTGGTGGAGGAGAACATCTGTGTTTCCTCACATTAACCTTCACTGTAAACAGCTGCTCCTCTTCATCGGGGGCAAACATCACACATCATTAAAGGAAGATGGATGCTGCCTCTCTGATACAAGACACAGCCTTCTGGATGTCTTCATCCGTCTGTTTGATGGTCACCACCACTCGGATACTGAGACAAACAGGAGGGGGAATGTATTTTAGATTCACCCTGACACCATCCAGGTCACTGCTTCACCTTTTGACCTCCTCTTTCTCAGGGTTTCTAATCATTTAGACATCATCACATCGCTGGTGAATGACATTTTCAACTTAAATCTAATGAAAATTACTTAGTATGCAACATATTGTGAATGAAAGTGTCAAGACTATTAATAATTAAAGTAATGGGTACAATTCACTGATTGTTCCATACCTGACTTATTGTGTAGAAATCTGGGGAGCAACATTCAAAAACTACACACAACCCTTATTTATTTTACAGAAAAGAGCTCTGAGAATCATCAATTATAGTGGCTGTAGAGATCTATCGAACCCATTGTTTATTAAATATAAATTACTGAAATTTCATGATTTAAAAGACGGAAAAATCTTACAAACCATGTATAAAGCCAATTTAGGTACTCTGCCAACAAACATTCAGGGGATATTTGAAAAGAGAACTAGTAATTACACGCTGAAAGAAACTGATGTGTTTCCAAAACCTAGATTTAGAACTAAAATTAAGGGTGGAATATATCTGTAAATGGTGTTAAATTATGGAATAACCTTAAAAGGGAAATTTAAAAAACTCTGTCACTTAATATTTTCAAATATGTACCAAACTGAGTGTACTAACTGATTATGAAAATGTAAATTAAATCAATGATCATGATCGCACTGGAATTTAGAACAGGAAAAAGTTTAAAATGAATCCGTATGTGTGTCTGACAACTGGAAATTGTATATAAATTGATTATTTCTTCTGGAAAAGGAGGCAGAAATTATAAGATGTTTTTCTTCATTCTGCTCCTTTTCGTTCAAATTTGATTTTTTGTTATGTATTTCTTATTGTTTATATGTTTTATTTTGAATGAAATAAAAAATAAAAAAGGCTAATTTTACTTTTAAACAGGAAGTCTACATCCATTACTGTTCCTTTCCCTATAACACTGGGTGAGGGTGTAAGGGACAGTCTGAGTCACGCCTAAAGTCTCCCATGATTAAACTGAGTATTTAGGTCTCTGCCATCTAGTCTATTTTAAAAACAAAACTGCATTTGGACTGTATAGGTTATTTAACTTATTGATCATTGAACATTTGTTAAAGAAAACATTTCACAATAATGGAAAAATGCTTAGATAGGTCTCCTGTTAAAAATAAACACTTTTATAAAACCAGACTGAAGCAAAAGATGCACACAAATGAGGTCAACTAATAAAAAACACACAGCAGCAACAGTTTTGCAATCCGAATAGAACCCAGCAGTGAGTTGTCAAATGCTATCCGTTTTTTGTTCTTTTCTTAAACAGTTTTAGTAAAATATAGTTTTTCACCTGACATGTTTCAGCTAGTATCTCTAGCAGTCATTAGAGATCTCTGAATAGATCCATTCTCATAAACACACCTGCCAACACTTTTTACTCTGAGACGTTTAGATGTGGACGCATAAAGAAACAAACCAGCTAACAGATATGTTGATCCTGGTTTAATCATAAGGCCTGTGTCACACAGCTGCTCCCCTGATTTACCCGTCTGTGTCCCGAACCTCAAGTCTCACTCAAGCCTGTAGTCTTAGTTTTTGCAATTAAAATGTGACTCGAGTTACTTCTAGTTCAGAGTCTCATCAGTGACCTGCATGCCTCACCAATGTTTTTTAGAGACATGAGGGAAGAGCACTACTGAGCAATGCCAAGTTAGACATCCACGAACTAAAACAGCATAATACTGATGAAATAAAACACCTGATAGGGACAGCCTCTTACCTGGGAGGGGGGAGGAAGCGCTCCTCTTTTTCTAGATACCTGGCGACTGTCAAAGCAACATTTCTGTCTAAACACTGAAAGAGAAAACATAAAACCTGATGAGAAGAGAGTCCGGTCTCAGTCTGCCCCAGTAGTGAGTGAGGTAAATGGTAAAAATGTTGTTTTAAAAAATACAATAAGTCACTTAACCGCCTACCAGATACTGGATCTGTTTACTCATGTAAAAACAGAATCTAGAACTGTAGTTCTGTGTCCAACAGCCTTCAGATTTAGAACAGTACAGGTCTAATGTCATGGTGGAGTCATTATAAACATGAATCCATTCATGAATATTATATTTGTTACTAGTCGCATCAGCAGCAGCATGTGACTCAGGCATACAGATCCATCTGAAACAGACCGGACTTACATAGTCAACAACAGAGCGGAGCCGTTGCAGGTCAGTGACTCTGGAGCCAGAACCTCTCTCCAACTGTAGATGAAGAGCTGGAGCAAACGACACTCCCACTACCTTCAGACTGGGGATTCTGTTGAACACAGTCAACACGTCACAAGTCTAAACCTGTTACAGGTCAACGCGTCACAGGTCTAAACCTGTTACAGGTCAACGCGTCACAGGTCTAAACCTGTTCCAGGTCAACGCGTCACAGGTCTAAACCTGTTCCAGGTCAACACGTCACAAGTCAAAACCTGTTCCAGGTCAACACGTCACAGGTCTAAACCTGTTCCAGGTCAACACGTCACAAGTCTAAACCTGTTACAGGTCAACGCGTCACAAGTCTAAACCTGTTCCAGGTCAACGCGTCACAGGTCTAAACCTGTTACAGGTCAACGCGTCACAGGTCTAAACCTGTTCCAGGTCAACGCGTCACAGGTCTAAACCTGTTCCAGGTCAACACGTCACAAGTCTAAACCTGTTCCAGGTCAACACGTCACAGGTCTAAACCTGTTCCAGGTCAACGCGTCACAGGTCTAAACCTGTTCCAGGTCAACACGTCACAAGTCTAAACCTGTTACAGGTCAACACGTCACAAGTCTAAACCTGTTACAGGTCAACACGTCACAGGTCTAAACCCGTGACAGGTCAACACGTCACAGGTCTAAACCTGTGACAGGCGAACACGTCACAGGTCTAAACCTGTTACAGGTCAACGCGTCACAGGTCTAAACCTGTTCCAGGTCAACACGTCACAAGTCTAAACCTGTTACAGGTCAACGCGTCACAGGTCTAAACATGTTCCAGGTCAACGCGTCACAGGTCTAAACCTGTTCCAGGTCAACACGTCACAAGTCTAAACCTGTTCCAGGTCAACACGTCACAGGTCTAAACCTGTTACAGGACAACACGTCACAGGTCTAATCCTGTTCCAGGTCAACACGTCACAGGTCTAAACCTGTTACAGGACAACATGTCACAGGTCTAAACCTGTTACAGGACAACACGTCACAGGTCTAAACCTGTTACAGGCGAACACGTCACAGGTCTAAACCTGTTACAGGACAACACGTCACAGGTCTAAACCTGTTACAGGCGAACACGTCACAAGTCTAAACCTGTTCCAGGTCAACACGTCACAGGTCTAAACCTGTTCCAGGTCAACACGTCACAAGTCTAAACCTGTTCCAGGTCAACACGTCACAGGTCTAAACCTGTTACAGGACAACACGTCACAGGTCTAATCCTGTTCCAGGTCAACACGTCACAGGTCTAAACCTGTTACAGGACAACACGTCACAGGTCTAAACCTGTTACAGGACAACACGTCACAGGTCTAAACCTGTTACAGGCGAACACGTCACAAGTCTAAACCTGTTCCAGGTCAACACGTCACAGGTCTAAACCTGTTCCAGGTCAACGCGTCACAGGTCTAAACCTGTTCCAGGTCAACGCGTCACAAGTCTAAACCTGTTACAGGTCAACGCGTCACAGGTCTAAACCTGTTCCAGGTCAACGCGTCACAGGTCTAAACCTGTTACAGGTCAACGCGTCACAGGTCTAAACCTGTTCCAGGTCAACGCGTCACAGGTCTAAACCTGTTCCAGGTCAACGCGTCACAGGTCTAAACCTGTTACAGGTCAACGCGTCACAGGTCTAAACCTGTTCCAGGTCAACACGTCACAAGTCTAAACCTGTTCCAGGTCAACGCGTCACAGGTCTAAACCTGTTACAGGTCAACGCGTCACAGGTCTAAACCTGTTCCAGGTCAACGCGTCACAGGTCTAAACCTGTTCCAGGTCAACGCGTCACAGGTCTAAACCTGTTCCAGGTCAACACGTCACAAGTCTAAACCTGTTACAGGTCAACACGTCACAAGTCTAAACCTGTTACAGGTCAACACGTCACAGGTCTAAACCCGTGACAGGTCAACACGTCACAGGTCTAAACCTGTGACAGGCGAACACGTCACAGGTCTAAACCTGTTACAGGACAACACGTCACAGGTCTAAACCTGTTACAGGTCAACGCGTCACAGGTCTAAACCTGTTCCAGGTCAACGCGTCACAGGTCTAAACCTGTTCCAGGTCAACGCGTCACAGGTCTAAACCTGTTACAGGTCAACGCGTCACAAGTCTAAACCTGTTACAGGTCAACGCGTCACAGGTCTAAACCTGTTCCAGGTCAACGCGTCACAGGTCTAAACCTGTTCCAGGTCAACGCGTCACAGGTCTAAACCTGTTCCAGGTCAACACGTCACAAGTCTAAACCTGTTACAGGTCAACACGTCACAAGTCTAAACCTGTTCCAGGTCAACGCGTCACAGGTCTAAACCTGTTACAGGTCAACGCGTCACAGGTCTAAACCTGTTCCAGGTCAACACGTCACAAGTCTAAACCCGTTAGTTCAACACGTCACAAGTCTAAACCTGTTACAGGTCAACACGTCACAGGTCAAAACCCGTGACAGGTCAACACGTCACAGGTCTAAACCTGTGACAGGTCAACACGTCACAGGTCTAAACCCGTGACAGGCGAACACGTCACAGGTCTAAACCTGTTACAGGACAACACGTCACAGGTCTAAACCTGTTACAGGTCAACATGTCACAGGTCTAAACCTGTTCCAGGTCAACACGTCACAGGTCTAAACCTGTTACAGGTCAACATGTCACAGGTCTAAACCTGTTACAGGTCAACATGTCACAAGTCTAAACCTGTTACAGGACAACACGTCACAGGTCTAAACCTGTTACAGGTCAACATGTCACAGGTCTAAACCCGTGACAGGCGAACACGTCACAGGTCTAAACCTGTTACAGGACAACACGTCACAGGTCTAAACCTGTTACAGGTCAACATGTCACAAGTCTAAACCTGTTCCAGGTCAACACATCACAGGTCTAAACCCGTGACAGGCGAACATGTCACAAGTCTAAACCTGTTCCAGGTCAACATGTCACAAGTCTAAACCTGTTCCAGGTCAACACATCACAGGTCTAAACCCGTGACAGGCGAACACGTCACAGGTCTAAACCTGTTACAGGTCAACATGTCACAGGTCTAAACCCGTGACAGGTCAACACGTCACAGGTCTAAACCTGTGACAGGTCAACACGTCACAGGTCTAAACCCGTGACAGGCGAACACGTCACAGGTCTAAACCTATTACAGGACAACACGTCACAGGTCTAAACCTGTTACAGGTCAACATGTCACAGGTCTAAACTGTTACAGGCGAACACGTCACAGGTCTAAACCTGTTACAGGTCAACAAGTCACAGGCCTAAACCCGTGACAGGCGAACACGTCACAGGTCTAAACCTATTACAGGACAACACGTCACAGGTCTAAACCTGTTACAGGTCAACATGTCACAGGTCTAAACTGTTACAGGCGAACACGTCACAGGTCTAAACCTGTTACAGGTCAACAAGTCACAGGCCTAAACCCGTGACAGGCGAACACGTCACAGGTCTAAACCTGTTACAGGACAACACGTCACAGGTCTAAACCTGTTACGGGTCAACATGTCACAGGTCTAAACCCGTGACAGGTCAACACGTCACAGGTCTAAACCTGTGACAGGCGAACACGTCACAGGTCTAAACCCGTGACAGGCGAACACGTCACAGGTCTAAACCCGTGACAGGCGAACACGTCACAGGTCTAAACCTGTTACAGGACAACACGTCACAGGTCTAAACCTGTTACAGGACAACACGTCACAGGTCTAAACCTGTTACAGGACAACACGTCACAGGTCTAAACCTGTTACAGGACAACACGTCACAGGTCTAAACCTGTTACAGGTCAACATGTCACAGGTCTAAACCTGTTACAGGTCAACACGTCACAGGTCTAAACCTGTGACAGGTCAACACGTCACAGGTCTAAACCCGTGACAGGCGAACACGTCACAGGTCTAAACCTGTTACAGGACAACACGTCACAGGTCTAAACCTGTTACGGGTCAACATGTCACAGGTCTAAACCCGTGACAGGTCAACACGTCACAGGTCTAAACCTGTGACAGGTCAACGCGTCACAGGTCTAAACCCGTGACAGGCGAACACGTCACAGGTCCAAACCTGTTACAGGACAACACGTCACAGGTCTAAACCTGTTACAGGTCAACATGTCACAGGTCTAAACCCGTTACAGGCAAACACGTCACAGGTCTAAACCTGTTACAGGTCAACACGTCACAGGCCTAAACCCGTGACAGGCGAACACGTCACAGGTCTAAACCTGTTACAGGACAACACGTCACAGGTCTAAACCTGTTACAGGTCAACACGTCACAGGTCTAAACCCGTGACAGGCGAACACGTCACAGGTCTAAACCTGTTACAGGACAACACGTCACAGGTCTAAACCTGTTACAGGTCAACACGTCACAGGTCTAAACCCGTGACAGGCGAACACGTCACAGGTCTAAACCCGTTACAGGCAAACACGTCACAGGTCTAAACCTGTTACAGGACAACACGTCACAGGTCTAAACCTGCTACAGGACAAACACGTCACAGGTCTAAACCTGTTACAGGACAACACGTCACAGGTCTAAACCTGTTACAGGTCAAAACCTGTTACAGGTCAACATGTCACAGGTCTAAACCTGTTACAGGTCAACATGTCACAGGTCTAAACCCGTTACAGGCGAACACGTCACAGGTCTAAACCTGTTACAGGACAACACGTCACAGGTCTAAACCTGTTACAGGTCAACATGTCACAAGTCTAAACCTGTTCCAGGTCAACACGTCACAGGTCTAAACCCGTGACAGGCGAACACGTCACAGGTCTAAACCCGTTACAGGCAAACACGTCACAGGTCTAAACCTGTTACAGGACAACACGTCACAGGTCTAAACCTGCTACAGGACAAACACGTCACAGGTCTAAACCTGTTACAGGACAACACGTCACAGGTCTAAACCTGTTACAGGTCAACATGTCACAGGTCTAAACCTGTTACAGGTCAACATGTCACAGGTCTAAACCCGTTACAGGCGAACACGTCACAGGTCTAAACCTGTTACAGGACAACACGTCACAGGTCTAAACCTGTTACAGGTCAACATGTCAC